TCGAGTCATCGTGTGTAGTTATGAGACGAATTCGTGTAACCGGAAATCAAATGATGACAACTATAACAAGGAATGGTCGGGACCGACAGGTACTTCGAGTTATGAATAATATTCGAGAAGCCGACATTCGACTCATCGGGATTTGACTGTATATTCATCATCAGATAAAGTATCATGATTATTGATGCTACACTATATATCATCACAGCTTTATGTAACACGTATTTCACACATTAAGAAGTAGATGGTCGGGAGGGCTGTATATCGTTAGTTACACCTTGGTGGCCATGGTCACCATGGTATACATATTGCAATATTTGCATCACTTTACTCCACATTCAGTTTATTCTCACAATTGTTTTTTGATAGTTTGTGTTAAACATTTGAGACTGGTCACACTTGTCTTTATTTTTGAGTATAGCATAGCAGCTGACATTTCTGATAGGTTATGCAAGCGGTGGCTCTGATAGGTTATGCAAGCGGTGGGGTAGCCTAGTGGTTAAGGCATTTGCTCGTCACTCTGTAGACCTAGGTTCAATTCCTCGCATGGGTACAATGTGTGAGGCAAAATTCTGGTGTCTCCCATATTGCTGGAATATTGCTAAAAGCTGCGTAAAACTAACCTCACTCGCTCACTGATGGCTTATGTAACGAATTATGATCAATGTTAGAACTGTTATGTATGATTCATTCTTGTATTCTGTGAATCAAACCGTAAACTTTCATGAATTCAGTTAATTATTGGTGATCAGTAGGTGCAAATGGCATGTTTTTTGCTTGAATTTCTGGGGTTTTATGATAGCCAGATGGAATGTGTCCAAAGCCCACCAGAATAATTGTCAACACTCTTATGTATTTATTTTGACAATGTTGTCATTGTCATGATGAATTGACACTGTCAAAGAATATATTTTTTAATTGTTTCACTCAATATAATGAACAATACTTCAGCTGCTGACTTATTTTATCCGTTACCCAATATTCACACGTGTTACCCAATATTCACACACGTTACCCAATATTCACACACGTTACCCAATATTCACACACGTTACCCAATATTCACACACGTTACCCAATATTCCTGATATGTATCATATTTACCACATAGTGGATACGTTGCAGTCCTTATATGTATTATATATCTACCTTGCAGTTAATGATAATCCAGTTCGCATATATTACTTTTATGTCAAGTCATACTTCCTGGAATTAATTCATGAAACCTTTTTATTGATGCATGGACACAGACTATTTGTAGGTTGTCATGAATCTCTTTTGATAGTCCTGTAGGGTGACATATTTCTCTGTTCAAGGTATGTGCAGCAGCTAGCTAGTGTTGGCCCCAATCTAGGCATCAGGGACAGCACATTCCAGTCATTGAAAGGGGCAGTCACTTGATTGGCAGTAATGTGTTCATATTCAGTTTATCTTGTTTATTGAAGCAGTCATTATGCCTACCCTGTTTGCTTTCTGAATGTGATGATTATATATTGTAAAGGTCGAATATATAGTAAAGGTAGGAGATCAGTTGATATGCATGGGCTGTTAGTGTCAGTAGAAATGAATACAATGTCATGAGATATGGTTATTGTTGTCAGTGACTGTATTGTCAGCTGTACCACACCTATGCCGCTATTGGGGGTGTATCTACCCGAGATATTGCAGTTATTGAAGTATTTTCAAATAAAGCATGTTATGCAATATTTACTTTAAAATATTTAATTGTTCAGTATTTAATCTTTTGACAGTTGCTTGACGCATACCTTGAAACAAATTTGATTCTACCATGACTTCAGTAAATACTGGATTGTGATTAGTTAATCAAAGTCATTCAGAGGTTTATAATCACATTATGTACCTCTGTTTTTCCAACACAATAGGGGAGGTGGGGTAGCCAAATGGTTAAAGCGTTGGCTCGTCACGCTGAAGACCCGGGTTCGAATCCCCACATGGGCACAATGTGTGAAGTCCATTTCTGGTGTCCCCTGCCATGATGTTGCTGGAATATTGCCAAAAGCGGCGTAAAACCAAACTCAGTCAGTCAGTCCAACACAATATGTATTTTGGTTTTTAAATTTAGCTACACGTCCCGAGTTAAATCAAATTTAGAGCTATTTAATTTTGTTATATACCTCTGATTTTCACCACAGTAGGTTTATCTCCTAAGTGTAATTTCATCGGGATTCTAGAAACTACAAATGGGTTTGGTGTATGATAGGTATTTTTGTTAAATTGTTGTCACAGTACAATTTTCTGATAGGCAAAATAGAGAGATTGGAATCTATATCTGACCATAGTATATGAACAAAAAGCAATAACGGAAAACAACAACAACAAGCATCATTCCCCATATCTATTATATCCTGTAGGACACACAGTGATATTCACTGTACCAGATTCTCAACAAGAAATATATGGATCCTGTTATTAGCATCATTATCACAGCTTACCTCATGTACAGGACGCTACACTATTTCATTGATTTACGAACTCTTGAAATTAGTCATTCGAATTCATGTGGACTTCTAGTTTTGTAAGGCAATTGAAAACCCTGATCTGTATTTTGTTGATGTTATCTTTTTGTTATTTGTTTGTTTCACATATTTTCTTTTACCTGTTATCATTTTCTTTATTAATCTTAAACACTGTATGAGGTTAGTACAGGTTTCATCGATTCATTTAAGACGGGTGAGCTTCAGAACCTTCACTCTCTAATATAGCTCATCTTATCAACCCACTTACCCACTTTTCTTATGTGTCAACCAAGTTAGAAGACAGGATTTAATTCAAGAATTTACACAGTATAAAAACTTGTGCAAATAATTTTGTGAATATGTTGTAATATAGGATTGTGAAAGTAAATATTAGCTATCCTGAACAAGGGGGTGTCTGTGAACCATGTGTTGACCTTTCTATAGGGACATAAAGCTGTCCGACTGCGGGCATTATGATTGATAGATATGTTGTTGCAGATCCTTGTTATGCTGAACCCTTATGGACAATATTCGCTTTCATGTACAAATACATATCTCACACTTCAGCTTTCAGATAAGAAAAGAAATGTGTTATATCTCCTTTTTTTTTTTTTTTTCACCCGCATTTTTTAAAACTTGAATAAAGGGTCTCTCTTATCAAAGTGAAAACACAAATCTTCTTCCTCTGGATATCTCTTTTTCATTTCACCATAATATCAGTGCAGCTGGAATTTGGCTGGTGCAACTAGGTTTTTATCTTAGGTTGCACCTGGTGCAAGTATGTTAACATCTTTTAAATCGAGCCCTGTTGTATATATTGCCTGTATGAATGTGTGTTGTACGTTGCAGTTGAGGAGATCTATATAATAATATGGCTGTTTCCCTGAAGTCTTTTGTTCAATTGATTTAAGGAACTGTTATGGTTTTGAGTGATTGAGAATAAAAATGTGAAAATCATATATTTCAAGCCTACAGCTTAAATCAAATAAAATATCAACACATTTAAATTAAATTTGTTAGCTTTGCAAGACAACTTAATCAGGCTTTGAAACCTTGCCCTTATATGAACTATTGATTCTTTAACAAGTTCTGCTCATAAACATATCAGCTTCAGAACGTTTTGAAATTATTTTATTATTTTCTAATGGGGCATCCTTTTACGTTATCACTAATCAGCAAATAAATCAGTTGTACAACATTAATACAATGCCCTAGAATATCAACCCATTAACATCCGGGTTAGAATTGATCTTCAGCAACCCATGCTTGTTGTAAGAGTTGACCAATCGGATCGGGTGGTCAGGCTTGCTGACTTGGTTCACACATGTCATTGTATCCCAGTTGCGTAGATCAATGCTCATGCTGTTGATCACTGGATTGTCAAGTCCAGACTCAATTCTACAGGCAGTCTCCATATAGCTGGAATATTGCTGAGATTGGCGTAAACTAAACACTCACTCACTCACTCACTCAACCACTCACTCAACCACTCACTCACTCACTCACTCAACCACTCACTCAACCACTCACTCAACCACTCAACCACTCAACCACCCACCCCAAGAATATCAACTGATCTTATATCTTTGGTCATGGTAGTATTACTGCTTTTATGTTTGGCATTGACAACGAACATTGACACTTGTTACCATCTGATGAGTTTGGACAAGTAGATTCTATATTGACATGACTGTTGAACTCCAGTGAAATGTTATGACATACGGGGCGGTGGGCTAGAATAGTGGTTAAAGTGTTCAATTCCCCACATGGGCACAATGTGTGATGCCCATTTCTTGTGTCCCCCGCCATGATATTGCTGGAATATTGGGAAAAGCAATGTGAAACATATCTCACTTGTTAAGAAGTAGATGATCATCAAGGCTGTATGTTGTTAGATACACCTTGGTGGCCTGTGTCACTCACTCACTCACTGCTATGACATACACCATCAATATGAAACCAAACGTTTATGGAATAAATTTTGTAATTGAAAATCTGTCTCTGGAATATTCAGACAAAATAGATCTATCAGTTATGATTCATGATTGACTGCTTGGAACAAAAAGATTACAACCAACAATATATATTATGATCACATCCATTTACAAAGACAAGGATTATTCCACAGTTTCACTGTTAAACGTTTAGTATTTGTACTCTAGTATTTGTATTCATGTGGTGAATTGAACTGATCAGCAAAAGCCACATGGCAACCCCACCAGCAATACCAACCTGAAACTTGAATCGGTCTTTGCACAAATTGTGTATAATAGTCAGTTGCCATAATAAATAGGTACAGTGGACTCTAAACCAGCATCACTACGGGATTGAAAAAATACTGGTTTACAGAAACCTTCTGAGCATTGAGATGTATATTTAGACAGCCACCTGCACTGTTTGATCAGATATGAACATTTGATTGACTACTTGTGAAGTGTGAGAATATTGCTCATTAATTGACTCATTTTACTTATCACATTTAGTCAGCTTTAGAGTATGACTCACTCCTGTCCTTTATTTCAGTCTTACTGAAGGAGACCATCAACGTGGATGACCTGTCCAACAAGACGCTCAAGATCACCGACTTTGGTTTGGCTCGGGAGGTGGACAAGACAACAAGGATGAGTGCGGCAGGAACGTATGCCTGGATGGCACCAGAAGTCATCAAGTCATCGCGCTTTTCAAAGTTCAGTGATGTGTGGAGGTATGCTGTCATTACTTCATGTATTCCTTGCTTTGATTTTTTTGGGACATGGGTGAATAGTGGTTGAAGGACATTGGCTCATAAGTTCCGTTCAGTTGCTGGGTACCCTATGTTTGTATCTGATATTAGCTTTACCATGAACTCTCTGTGTTTTCCCCAATACCTTAGCCCCTCAGACCCTCAAACTCTGTTATGTATCAGACCTCAGCTGTACCATCAACTGTCTGCATTTTCCCCACTACCCACAGCCCCTTGAGGTCCCCCCTCTCTATCAGATCTGAGACGCACCGTGTCACAGTTAGCGAGTATTAGTTTATGGTGAGACGATCCCGAGTTAGCATTAGGATTTATGTAGGTTATTTCCTGCTTTAAGCTCAGGTATGCATTAATTATTGTGTTATGTTGTCACTTGACACTCTTGAATACTGAACAATCCTTGTATTGTGTGAGATTTGCATAGAGTAAAAAACTACAACATAAATCACTCTGAAATTCCATTCTTGTGCAGTGCTCTAATCATGACCTAATTGAAACATCAGAATGTAACAAGTAATAAAAGTCCTGCTACATTTCTCATTTACCTGTTTGGCAACATAACGTGCACACAGGTCTGTTCAGTGAATTTGTTTTCAATTAATGAGAAAAAGAAAGAAAAGAAAAATAGGCTGTGTTTATTTAATCCAAAAATATTAGTATGCAATTAAAGGTAAGTAAGATTTGTAACAATGTCATATTGTCACTATAATATTTTATGTAGAATGTTATGTATTCAGGGATTTACAGGATGCGAATTCCTGCGTTCTATATGCATAAAAATTGACACTAGATGCAACTAAATTTATTAGCTCATGCACAGGGACGCAGAAAAAGTCCAAATAGTTTTGTAAAAATTCCAATCAAGTAACAATAAGTTATCACTGAGTTTGCTACTAGCTGAGTTATGGTATCATTTGCTGTTTCATTACTGTAACAATTAAAGTGTTGATCATGATACACAATACAATTACAGTATTAGTAATAATATTTAAGTGTCTGGCACCCCCATTTTGTTGTCCAGGGCCCCTGAAAATTATAAGCATGAGTCCCAGATACCCTCAAATACAGGACTCGAGATAAATCCCTGTGTATTTGTTGTACATCTGAAATGTGCTTATTCAAAACATTAAAATATATTGAAAGTCTTGACTAAATATGTCATGATGCATAGGAAATGACAAATGCAAACATAAGTAACCTGATAGTTGTTGGAGGATATTACGTGGTATTCTTTGTGTATGGGGATCTCATTCATCCATCTCTGAGGTGCTGACCCTTGATGAAGACTTCCTTGAGAAGTTGTAAACCTATCTCACTTCAATTGTATACAACAATGTAGTCCCAGTAGGTCTGTCAGCCAGGGTCACAGTCACTGAACACAGCTTCATGTGGGTAAACTGTGCAAACGTATAAATGCATTTGTGAAGATGACAAAAATGCATCGCTATCAATCACTTAATCGTATCAGGTCTGGATTACAACTGTCTAGGACTGATGTTCTTTGCCGTATGTCTGTTTAGGGGTGAAAACAGGTGAAGTAGTCACAGGTGTTTTTTAGATCCCTGTAGGGTTCCCTACATATACCACATGGGTACATTGTGTTAAGCCCATTTCTGGTGTCCCCCGCTGTGATATTGCTGGAATATTGCTAAAAGCGGCGTAAAACCAAACTCACTCACTGACTCAATCCCTACATATACCACTCAAAACACTTGTAAGGAGCACATGAATCTTTTAAATTTCTAATTTGGTTCTTGCTGTTATCCTTGCTTTATCTCCCCCCATCTTAAGTCAGGTGATTTCATACAGGTGATACACTGGCTTCAGATCAAACCCCATGGATTCAAGAACACTGTTTGCTTCATCTAGGCACACCTTCCTCACAACTTGTAGGAAATCAGCTCATGGGTCAGCTTTCTCACATATACTCTTACAGTTTCTATAATGTTGGTCACACATCTCCTTGTTCTTTTAGTTATAACACATTTTTCTTACACAACTGTGGGTGAGAAAAACAGCGAATTCCAAGTGTGATGGGCTACTCCATGGTGATGACCTTAGGTCTGATTATGTTGTGTTAAGTTATTCGTGTTTGTGTGAACTCACTCATGTCTGTGTTGAACATTGACAGATTTAATAAACGTTCTAAGGTCATCTTTGCCTTTATGATCTACTGGTATAACAGAAACATTGTATCAATAGTAAGCAGTAGGCAGGATGAGTGAGTGAGTTTAGTTTTACGCCACACTCAGCAATATTCCAGCTATATGGCGGCGGTCTGTAAATATTTGAGTCTGGACCAGACAATCCAGGGATCAACAGCATGAGCATCGATCTGCGCAGTTGGGAACTGATGACATGTGTCAACCCAGCCAACAAGCCTGACCACCTGATCCCGTTAGTCGCCTCTTACGACAAGCATGGGTTACTGAAGTCGCATTCTAACCCGGACCTTTGCGGGTCGTAGGCAAGATGATGTCGATGACCATTGTGTTGTGTATTAATGCATCACTGTGGTCATGAAAATGATAATCATAAGTGCATTTATAGTGCACTAAACTCCATTCACTAGGTGAATGCTTGTAGTGCTAAAAATCAAAGCACAGCACATTATTACCCTGGATTACTCAAGCTGCCTGTGAGGCGCTAGGTTATCAGTCACGTGACATCCCACCAGGTACCCATTTTCTGCTTGGTGAACAGAGACCACATGTATCACATTTGCTTCATCAGGGGACTGTTGTCCTAGAAACTCTGAGGAGTCAAGCTTCCAAACATGGTCACCCATCCAGAATAGTAGGGTAGGCTAAAATGCTCAATAGTTGGAAATATCTTTGATAGGAAAAATTAATAAAGATTATCAATATGAAACTTGTGTAATTTATAGTATCGTACAATAAATGTTATGATAGAAGAAAAGTTTTAATTTTCGCACACAATATACAAATTTAGGACTTTAGTCACTCCAACTATCTATTGTCCTCACATTTTGAGCTCTATCTGTCTCTCCCATTCATCCATTGCAGAGCAATAGTATTTTACCTGTCATCCATCTTGTAAGGTGACAGTGTATCGGTGTATCCTTTAACCTCACTATGCTGTGCACTGCCATCACCATATTACACATGTTGCAAATATTTCTACAAGATTCCTCAAGTTTTAATTTCAAGATATGATTCATAATGAGTTAAAATCCACAATATATGAATCACATCCCTGTCTGAGAAATACCTGTAGACCCACTTTCCTTATTTGGAAACATGATGTCTGTTTGAAAGGCATTCTTCTGTACATGGTCATGAGTTGGAAATGTGAAGTGTTATTTTTGTCTCGGGTAATCCTTCAAGGAAATATTTCCATTGTACTATATTCTGACTTTGATATCTCAACAAAAACATAATTGCATACCTTTCATTAAATAGAGACAGAAGACATTTTTCACTATTTTACTATTTTTAGTGGATCCCACTGATCAAGCTTTTCAAATTGCAGAAAATGAAAACTAGGAAATAACAACTTGTGTTTAAAGTGGCACAAATTTATCATACAACTTGCCCAAATGCATTTCAAGTAATGGAAGTTAGTCTACATACAATTCATGACTGTAATTGATATGAAACTCTATAGCCATTGGCAATTCTCTGCTGACAGCTGGTGAGATTGTGTGATTCTTTATACCTATGACACCCTGTAATGGTGGTAAACATAATGTACCAAATAGCAAACATCAGTTTTTGTACATTTTGATATTGCTTTGTCATTTTTTATTGCAATGTGTCAAGTTAATTGAGTTTAACAGTTGTGAAAGGTATACATCAGTAATAGTCCTGATAATAACACTGCATGTGCTCTGTCACACTCATCTTGACAGTGGGGGCAGTGGGGTAGCCTAGTGGTTAAAGCATTCGCTCATCACACCGAAGACCCGGGTTCAATTCCCCACATGGGTACAATGTGTGAAGCCCATTTCTGGTGTTGCCACCATGATATTGCTGGAATATTGCTAGAATATTGCTAAAAGCAGCGTAAAACCATACTCACTCACTCTCTTGACAGTGCAATCTTGTATACAACCTAATTAGTTTGTCATAAATTCTGGGCAGAACTTTGAATTGGATTGTTTCTGTTGAGTACATATTCCTGGATTATTTTTTGTCTAATTGAGAGGTGCAGTGGAAATTTTGATTTTGATATTGCTTAAAAAGATTTTTGGGAAGAATTCAAATTATTTAGAAATTTGAAGTTAGAAAATTTGGTTCCATCAATAGCTTAAAAACTATTGAATACCTTTGTCTAAAAGAGAGATGCAGTGCAAAGTTTGATCATGATATGTTTTGGGTTTTTTAAATTACAGCAATTTGAAAATTTTAACCTTAGAAAGCAATATCTTGAAAAGGATTGGTCAAAATGTTTGCAAGCTTGGAAAACAGCTTCTTAAACAGTTACTGGCTGCCGAACAGTTATTGCTAATACATCCGCATCACGCGTGTGCAGTTCCGGTCACTTACACACCAGGTATTGTTTCCCACTGTATTTGACAACAATAACAGACAGCAACCAGTCGCATAATCAATTATGCGAGGTTCATTTCAATATAACATGCATAGTGAGAAGAACTGCCATACAATCTCGGCCACCTGTAGTGTTAGACAACCCACATCGATTTTTTTTATTTATTTATTTTTTTTTTCAGTTATAAATTTTAACCGTAAACTTTGTTCAAAGATTTTTTTTCGTTTTATTCCCACTTTTGGCATTCCCACTTTTGGCAGTCAATTTTCACCCTTGGTTGACGAGCTAGAACAGTTGTCCCGGTTTTGGCAGTTTATGACTGACACCTCATAATTAGCCCTTTGACACCTCGTTAATGAGTCTTAATTGATTTAATCAACTCCTAGGTAGTGTGAAGAAGAGAACAGAATAACAAAGAATTTTATTGGTGATGATTATTTTATTCACAACACATTTGCGAAGTATTTCTCATGTTCAATCTCATGTAAGTACTGGTTTTCTTGTCCGGAAGTAAGCAGAACAATTCAGGCAAGCTTCCGTATGACTGATGTGAATGGATAACACAGAGTTGGTAAAAAAACTTAGGGCAGATCTTGAAGGTTCCATCCATCGAAACAGTCTCGCTAACACAAAGTCTGGCAAAATCTGAACTGGTTCCAAAGACACAAATTTTGTTTCCATCCACCTCACTGTCTATAAGTACAAAATCATCACCAGTCTCGGTCTTTGTCCACTAACCACTAAGTTTCAAGTCTGTCGCAGTCTGGGGTGTTTGGGGTAGCGTCTTGGCTCGCTGTCGGACAGCAACCTCTTCTGGAGCAGCAGACTTGTAACCAGTCTTTTACAAACCTCCTCAGTGCCTAATTGATCCTAATTGTCCCAGTAGCAACTTAGTTACCACCTTACTGACGAGACCTAATTGATCTTAATTGGTCACACCAGTTGTCCCAATTTTGGCAGTGAGATACAACACCTACATGGTCCAGTGCACAACTGACTGCCAAAAATGGGAAATCACCATTTTTTTCAACCCAGAGCCTGGAATGGAAAGAAGTGCCACGTTGCTCAAGAATGCTGATTTCTGATTGGCTATTGTCCTCCTTTTGTAACTGATGGTATTGGTCAGTCAAAGAACATGAAGGTTTTTCTGACATATGTTGTGGGAAGGCCTCAGATCTTTGTTTATTACTATGGAGAATTAAGATCTGATTTGAATGAGATCTTATTTCATGTTGTGACTTCCCTTTGTGATTATGTTTGAATATTGCTAAAATCATAAATACCACTTTATCTTAATGAATCAAATTCAATCAAAGTTCAAGCTATTACCATTAGGCAAATAATCATTCTTATCTCACAACCTTATTTTCAGTGTACCGAGTATACTCTTAATAGCAGTGATGAGAGAATTTCAAGTGGCGACTCTTACAAATGAGATTCCAGAGGCACCTTTGTTACAATTGTTGTCCTTATAGTTGCCTGTGTGTTATGTTGAAACGTTCTTGTGTTGCAGCTATGGAGTGGTGCTATGGGAACTGCTGACTGGGGAGACCCCATACAAGGGCATTGATGCACTGGGTGTGGCATATGGTGTGGCTGTCAACAAGCTCACCCTGCCTATCCCAAGCACCTGCCCAAATCTCTTTGCTGACCTCATGGCAGGTAGGTCATCACCATGAGCACAGGTTAACGAGTTATAAGCATTACTTCCTTGTCCGGAAGAGGTTTGCTGTAAATATGTCAGCACTGTCATTGGACACCTTCAGTTCTAAACTAAACACTCATCTCTTCTAGGGCTATGAGGAGTAATTATACTTCCTAGCCATCCTTCTTACTAGTTAATATGTTTCATGCCAAGCAGGGCCGGTGGGGTAGCCTAGTGGTTAAAGCATTGGCTCGTCACGCCGAAGACCCAGGTTCGATTCCCCACATAGGTACAATGTGTGAAGCCCATTTCTGGTGTCCCTGCCGTGATATTGCTGGAATATTGCTAAAAGCGGCGTAAAACTAAACTCAGTCAGTCAGTCATGCCAAGCAGTGATGATTGGCTCTGAAATATATTTGCTAGTATTATTGTTTGTTTGTGTTTGTGTGTTTGCTTGTTGAACGCCGCACTCAGCAGTACACCAGCTATATGACGTCAGTTCATAAATATTTGAGTCCAGACTAGACAATGAAGTGATCAACATCCTGAGCATCGATCTTTTAGATGCAATTTGGATACAATGACATCACTGTTAGTCACCTCTTACAACAAGCATGGGTTGCTGAAGATCATTTCTAATCTGGATCTTCATAGGTGGAGTTAAATGAGCATGCTTAGACATATTGTTTTTTAGTGTTGGGAATGGTTAAAATCTCATAATTGATGATTGGTCCATTACAACCGATCAATCATCGAAAATAATTGGTTAGCGTCATTTATCAAATGTTCCTGGGGTCTTTGTAAAAAATACAGAAAAAACATGTAGTAATTGAGGTTTTTTTGCAAATTAAACAAAATCCATTTGCAAATTTTGCATATTTAAAGGATTATTAGTATGTTAGGAACACAGATTTCCTGGATTCTTTAAGATAAATTCAATCATGACTTGGAACGAGCTTGTAGTGCTTATGAAATGTAAATTTAATGACACAGACAAAACCAACCTTGTGTAAAATATTGTTGATGCAAACAAGTGTTCCCAGATTGGTTGCGCTCGATTATGAGAAAACATGTTTGATTGCTTGGTCGTTCAATTAATCGGACCACCACTATTGTGTTTATTGCATTTCAAGTGATTATTATTGTCGTCGTCGTCGTAGTTATTAATGTACTCCTCTATCTCTCTGTCAGATTGTTGGCATCAGGAGCCCCATGAACGACCCACATTCCAGGCCATCTTGCAGCGCCTGGAGGAGATCGCCAAGTCTTCCTTCATGAACACCCCTCAGGAGTCCTTCCACACCATGCAGGAGGACTGGAGGCAGGAGATCGAGCAGATGTTTGATGAACTACGCAGCAGGGAGAAGGTGAACACTCCCTGAAGTTGGACTGTAGCCACACATGCAATACAATATATGTCTTATAAGTCTGGCTGGACCAGTCACTTAGGGCACCACAATTCAAATTTCGAGTGTTTTTAGCACCATACCCCAGGCTTTTTATCCCCAGAAACGCGTTTTGCGGGGGGTATTAAAATGGACTCTGTCCGTGCGTCCGTCCGTCCGTGCACATTTGTCTTTTCCGGAGCAGAACTCTAAAACCGTTCACTATTTCTTCACCAAACCAAACACCATACTCTCCTTCCACTTTTCTATATACACACCTAATTATTTGACATAATCATAACTCGTAGACATAATCATGAAGTGTATTTTGCCATTGCGGGGGATATTGATGACTTTGTCTTCTTGTTGGTTTCCCAAGAAGTGGTAAACTTCCAAGTCCTATATCAAAATAGTTATCATATTTATTAACAGAAGGTCCAGACATTTCAAATTGTGTATGACATGTAGTGGTAATGATGTTTTACAAGCTGATATTTTCCTTGATAAATGTGGCCTTCATGCTGTGGGAACTCAATGTCTAGCAGTAGAAGCTAGTGTTAAAAGGGTTAACATTCCGATATTGCTTCTGTTTGCAAATTGACATAATTGTATCGAAGTACAGAAAGTCAAATTGTGTTTTGGTATTGTCACTTTTACCTAGATGTTCAGGATATTTAGTATATATGAATTATATTGGGTATTGGACTGTTAAAACTTTGAAACTGAATTGGCTTTGAGTTATGACATATCTTCATGAGCATGTTAAGCATGTTGCGTACCTACATTTCCTTCTATTAGTTGCTCAGTTATCAGTTTACAGATATTCATGGAGCCTCATATCTTGTATATGTCAAATGATTGAATGATCCTTAAGGTAGTAAGTGATATAGCAATTCCTAGCTATTGATATTTTCATGTTTGTGACTGTAGGTCATACAGAGTTGTGTTTGTGTGTGTGTGCAGGAGTTGAGGTCGAGGGAGGAGGAGCTGACGAAGGCAGCACTGCAACAGAAGATTCAGGAGGAGCTGCTCAAGAAGAGGGAACAGGAACTGGCAGAGCGAGAAATCGACCTGCTGGAACGGGAGTTAAACATCCTCATCCTGCAACAGGTCATGAACAAACCAACGCCTGTCAAGAGGCATCGGAAAACACGGTCAAAGCTCAAGTCTAGTGGAGGCAGGATCATTAGTGAACCGTCAGGTAAGCTGTAGAGGAGATAGGAGTCTGTGGTTCAAGTCTAGTATAGGCAGGATCATCAGTGAACCATCAAGTAGACTGTAGAGGAGATAGGAGTCTATGGTTCAAGTCTAGTATAGGCAGGATCATCAGTGAACCGTCAGGTAAGCTGTAGAGGAGATAGGAGACTGGTTCAAGTCTAGTATAGGCAGGATCATCAGTGAACCATCAAGTTGACTGTAGAGGAGATAGGAGTCTATGGTTCAAGTCTAGTATAGGCAGGATCACCAGTGAACTGTCAGGTAAGCTGTAGAGGAGATAGGAGACTGGTTCAAGTCTAGTATAGGCAGGATCATCATTAAGCCATCAGGTAGACTGTAGAGGAGATGGGAGTCAATGGTTCAAGTCTAGTATAGGCAGGATCATCATTAAGCCATCAGGTAGACTGTAGAGGAGATGGGAGTCAATGGTTCAAGTCTAGTATAGGCAGGATCATCATTACGCCATCAGGTAGACTGTAGGAGGAGATGGGAGTCAATGGTTCAAGTCTAGTATAGGCAGGATCATCATTAAGCCATCAGGTAGACTGTAGAGGAGATGGGAGTCAATGGTTCAAGTCTAGTATAGGCAGGATCATCATTAAGCCATCAGGTAGACTGTAGAGGAGATGGGATGGTTCAGTATAGGCAGGATCATCAAGCCATCTGGTAGACTGTAGAGGAGATGGGAGTCAATGGTTCAAGTCTAGTATCAGGGTCAATAGCAGAGATGGGGATCATCATAAGCCATCAGGTAGACTGTAGAGGAGATGGGAGTCAATGGTTCAAGTCTAGTATAGGCAGGATCATCATTACGCCATCAGGTAGACTGTAGAGGAGATGGGAGTCAATGGTTCAAGTCTAGTATAGGCAGGATCATCATTAAGCCATCAGGTAGACTGTAGAGGAGATGGGAGTCAATGGTTCAAGTCTAGTATAGGCAGGATCATCATTAAGCCATCAGGTAGACTGTAGGAGGAGATGGGAGTCTATGGTTCAAGTCTAGTATAGGCAGGATCATCATTAAGCCATCAGGTAGACTGTAGAGGAGATGGGAGAATGTTCAAGTCTAGTATAGGCAGATCATCAGTAAGCCATCAGGGACTCAAGATCTGGTTCAAGTCTAGTATAGGCAGGATCAACATTAAGCCATCAGGTACTTATTTTGTACATAAATTTTAGTGTCTATGTTCTTTCAAGGCTATGTGACATCAACCTGGGTGTTTTCTTCAGGTTTTCGGCACAACATCACTGTCCAGAAGGAGGGCCTGGTACAAGAGAAGCGAGGGATGTATGGTCCAAGCAGTCCAGACAGCCCGCCTGCCTCCCCAGCTCATGTTTTTCCCGTCTCCGGCACCAGACTCAGGGCTATAGCATGTAATAATACACTGTGACCTTGTCTCAGGGTTAGGGGGCCCTTGTGGGGCATTACGGGGTTAGAAGTTCCAAGTATCCCACTCTTGACAAAGAGACAATGAGTGAGGATTTTATGGTGGAATTGCCGACATGACCCTGGATTATTGCTCATTGACCAAGATAACAAACCATTCGTCCAACCCAGACTTGATTGTTTACAGGCCCGAGCTTTATTGCCGAGCAATGTTGGGCATAAAAAGCATTCACTCACTGAGTGTCTATTCATATTTGAACAGATCCAAAACAATCATTATTTGATTGTTTTATTTGTTGTATAATGCTGCATTCATCAATATTCAACTTGCTGTCTGTAAATAATGAAGTTTGGACCAGACAGTCATGTGACTGGCATCATGAGCATTGATCCACACAGTTGCGATGCAAAGACATCAACTAAGTCGCTGCATCTGACTACCTGGGCCCTTATTCTCGAAACGTTCGTAGCCCTAAGAATTCGTAACTCTGATTGTAGCCAATGTGTTAAGAATGGGCTTAAGAAGTTCATAGGGCTAATAACATTTCGAGAATAGCTAGCCTGATCCTTTAGTTGCCTCTTATGACCAGCACTGGTTGCTGAGGAAACCTTTTTTGGGGCTAAGTTATTTTTTCGAAGATTCCTGAGCAGTTATTGCAATGAATAATCATAATGATATTAATTTAGTACTTATATAGAGATCTTACCTTCCAACCAGTAGATATTCAGTGGTGTGGATTTCTACTTTTGTTATCAGTATGTACTTGGACTGCAACGAATCCACTATGAGGTGAATATGATGCATATGACCAATATTGGGTAACAAATACAAACATTGGATAATAACAATATAATAACATCACATTATTACAAATCAGCAGCTGAAGTATTATTCATTCAGTGAAACAATAACAAAATATATTCTTCAGAGCTCCAGATAAGATTTAGCTCATGTGGGTACTGTACCCACTGTATTTTTTTGGAGTGGGTATTATGAATGTTGAGTGGTTATTTCATTTTCCGTTACCCACTGCTTTCAAATATGTGCGTATTTCAGTAATTTTACTCACCTAAGTATTATGTCATTGATTAAGTTTACTAAGCAGGTATGTTGTGCCTTATGCCATACCTAATCAAAACCAAGTTAAATATAATGGAAATGATTTCATAAAAAATCACTCATCTTATACTGACAGTACAACACTTGTCCTATACTAACAGTACAACTTGATAGCAATCGATGTCTTTTTCATTACGCAAGCGGTTTTTATAGATATATTCTGTACACATTTTTAAAACACATTTTGCATATCTAACATTTTAAACGCGTAATTGGTACTCAACAATTATTTTTCAATGCGTAATTGGAAATTTTCTATGCGTATTTAACCTGGATATGCAGCTTATCTGGGCCTCTGTTCTTTGACCTGTTTTTACCATAGTTAATTTATCATGACAATGACCAGTGACGAAATTGCTGCCTAATATCCAGTCAGGTTTGGATGTATTCCATTTCATATATCTCGCTTTCATAACTAACACCCAAATTGAATTAAAAACGCTCCTTTTAAAAAAGACTCTCTAATGTTATATTTGATCACTTACAACTATGTAGTGATATGAGCCAGAATCCTTATGGTGTATACTGCTCTTTACCGAAATTGTCAACGATTCACGGGGGACATCGAACGATGGTTCTCAGTACGATGGCGTTATTTTCACCAACGCTCAGACCTTATTTAACTACAATAACACCATTGTAGTGATATTAGCCAAAATCCATATCGTGTATACTACTTAGTATCTGAAGTCATGGAAGTTTACAGTTCAATTCACAATATACGTGAGTGGATTGTCTCTTGTGTGTACAACATCATTGTGTGTGCAGTATGTACTACATGGCTGTGTATGCGATGTTGCAGATCCTGTGGATGGTGTGAAGGGGAAGACATGGGGACCAAGCTCAGTACAGAAGGACCGGCACCAGCGCTCTTCCATTATTTTCGCTGATGGCCGGTGGTCCAAGAGTGCTCCCAATTTGGAGAAGAGTCTCCGGGCTCTTGGTGGTGGACATTCCAACATAGGGGCCTTGAGTGAACTTTGTGAGTAACAGTTCAGATTAGTCTCGTTAAAAATAATGATATTGATAATTTGTCTATTTTTACAGTCCATCGTAAAACAAAATGTTGCCAAAATGCATGCACTTGCAATGACCAAAGGCTCATAGTCTATTAATATGCATGAATCTCACTAAATGGATTAAATTGAAAAGCTTGTAGTCTCATCATACTCTATGGCTTGTAAACAGACTCTGTTAGATTGTTGTGGATCTTCACAGTTTACTTGACCGCCTCCGTGGTGTAGTGGTTAGAGCGTCCGCCCGGAGAGCGGAAGGTCGCGGGTTCGATCCCCGGTGCGTCATACCAAAAGACGTTAAAATATGGTACTTGTTGGTCCCTGCCTGGCGCTCGGCATTAATGGGTACAACAAGGACTGGTCGGCTCAGAGTCAGTATAATGTGTCTGAGTGGGGTATTCATGCTTCACTGCGGCATGGTGTCTCAGTGAGCTAGCACTATAAAACCAGCTTCAGTCTGGGCTAGTACAAGCAGCCGCACATACACATACACACGCATGCACGTCGTCATATGAGCGAAATATTCTCAAGCACGACGTTAAACCCAATTTCACCTCACCTCACCTCACAGTTTACCTATTGGTTCCCACTGACTTGACTTTTAAGCCATATCTTTGAAGTTTAGAAACTAATCGCTAAGCGTTACATGGGCTGTTATGTACTCGTCACAAATGCTGTTATGGTACAGAGCATGTTCACTACATAGGTGACCTTGTAAGATTATGATATTATTTAACAAGTTTACCTAAGACAAATGCATAATCATATACAGTTGACAAGTGTCCTGATGGCTTGGTGAACTTTGGAATACAAACAGACTTGTAAGAAGCACAAATATAGCGCTCAATTACATTGTGAGCTGTGTTATGTTATGTATGTCATTGTTTCCACTCACATGCCGTTAACCTGACCTGACAATAAACTGCAAGAAAAATTCATCAGTTTATTAAACAGGTCAGTTGATGCTCACACTTTTTTAATAAATTCTATGTTAACTTTAATTTTAGGATTCTTTCTATGAAGGCAAGGTGTGAAGAAATGCTTTTTCTTTTGTAGTATATTAATTTCTTGGTCATGATGATAAAATAATGCACCAGATTATGCTCAGTGAATGTTCACGTTATTATTACCTTGGTCAATGGAACAGTGGGCTCTGTTTTCATTCCCAACTCCCTGGGGAGTATGTAGGTTATACTGAATGAATGAGTTTAGTTTTATGCCGCAGTCAGAAATATTCCAGCTTTATGGCGGTATGTAAATGATCGAGTCTGGACCAGACAATCCATAGCATAAGCATCAATCTATGCAATTGGGATACGATGACGTTTAAACTAAGTTAGTGAGCCTGACCACCCAATCCTGTTAGTCGCTTCTTGAGACAAGCATGAGTTACTGAAGATCAATTCTAACCCAGATCTTCACGGGTATGTAGGTTATAGTTGGGATATATGCTTAATCCAGCATAGAAATGTTGCCCTTATCTAATCTAATATGTTGCCTAATATCTGAAATATGTGGATATTGAAAGGCCCCTGCTCTTCATTCTAGGAACTGATGCCTGTGAGATTGGGATGTCAGGCACTGGTAATATGTAATAGTGTTGGGAATGGGTTAAACTCTCATAATTGATGATTGGTTCATTACAACCGACCAATCATCAAAATAATTGGTTAGCGTCATTTATCAAATTCTCCTGTTATGTTTGTTTATGCACAAAAATAAAGAACAAACATGTAGTTCTTTGGGATATTTTGCTAATTGCTCAAAATGCATTTACAAATTTCACATCTTTGAAGGAGGACTAGTATGTTAGGAACATAAATTTCCTGGAGGCTTTAAGATAAATTCAATCATGACTTGGAACAAGCTCGGGGTGTTTATGAAATGTAAATTTAATGACACAGACAAAACGAACCTTGTGAAAAATGAAAAATATTGTTAATGCAAACAAGTGTTCCAAAATTGTTTGCGGTCAATTATGAGAAAACACAATCAATTGCTTGGACGTTTAGTCACTGTGACCAATCTTCGATTATTTCAATTAATCAGACTACCACTAATGTGTAATCATGCCTTGATAGTGAGGATATTTCATGCTTTTTTTGCAGGTTTTGGTAGGTATTTACAAACCCTGTCAGCCTCAGGCTAGTACAGCCTGGCTATCCGAAGAAGACAATAGATTGTAATCTCCTTATATATTTGCAGATGATGAAGAAGATGAGTGGCCAGATTTTTCCAATGAGCAACGATACAAAAACATTCCACAGTCTCCAAACAGTGTCCCGGAGTCGTCGAACACTCTAAAGCGTAATGCTGTGAAAAAGAAAAGTGACAGTTTTCTGTTAAATGCAGCTGTTATACTAGCTGCAGTGGCAACTGGTTTTGATATTAGGATCTCAAACACCTCAGCTATTCACCCTAATCTTCACGGTCCTACGGAGGACGAGAGAAATGTGAAGAAAAGGGACTCCTTCATTCTCAACAGAAGAGATGCATATTTAGGGGCTGTGCGTGACTCTTTTATCGAGCCTGAAGGCATGTTTGGGAACCACCCTTACACAAATGCTTCAGGTTACCGCCATACATATCATGGTGTGCAGGTACGGCAGAGACCAAGTGTTCAGAATAATGAAAATTTTGATAGGCCGATACATTTCACAGAGCAGGATGGGGATAGTCCGGACTCGCAGACTACAAGCACAATAGGATCAAAATCGTCTCCGCACCGGTTGTCTTATGCAGATAGTGATAGCACAGGGGTGTCTGCAACGCCGTCACAAGTTGATCGCAGCATTATGTATCAGAGGCAGATCTCAGATGGCAGTACATACGAATCAAGTCGGGCATCTCAAACCCCGCAAAGACGGTCAGTAACTTTTGAGGATGATTTCACCCCGGACAAGCATGTGGCTACTTACACACACAAACGAACTCCTTCAAATACCTCAAACACTTCCAATACGCCACTGGACTATGAACCACGTTCTACTAAGTATAATCCTGACAAGCGACCGGCAGACAGCCAGAAAGGCCAGCCAGTTCCTCCACGTCGCAAGCCCAGTGGTGATGCACCTCAGAGACCCACCACACTCGAAGTGGGATCCACCTTTCGTTCTACATCTCAGCAGCAAACCTCTGCAATGAAGTACGCCTCCCCCGTCAATACGGGAGGCAGCCGAGATTCCCCGCGAGTGTGGGTCACCCCCTCTGAGACTGCCCCCGACAATGGCTTCTACTCAACCCGCTCCCGCCTGTCACCGGGGAACACACCCCCTCTCATCCGTCATCAGAAAACCCTCCTAGACATTGACATGGAGGGACAGAGTCAGGACAAGCGGGAAGCGCTTGTTAAACCCAAACCTCTCAGTACAAAACCCACTATCAGAGACCTAGAGAAAGAATTTGTCTGGAAATGATGCACAAGATTTTTTAGGCTTTAAGAAATGTCAGTCTGCAGTAAATTTAAGTTGTCCATACTTCTATTGCCATACACTCTTTCAGGACTATTTCTATGCCAGTTAGTTTCATCACTGATTTCTGTTGATATTTCAGTAAACATGCATTGGTAATTCTCTTTCTTCATTGTGAAATAAATAAGCCAGTGCGTATCATTATCCTGATTATCTTGCTAAATGATGTTTCATATCCAACCACACTATAAATAACGAAGGTATACATGAGGTTTTCCAGCTGTGTAAATGTGGTCCATGTTCTGTATTACTCTAGGGTATTAAGCATATTAACTTGAGCAAATAAGAGGTGTTATCCTCTTTTTTCGAAGATTTGCCAAGCATGTAAATCTCACCTTACAAGTGCTATTTGTTTCTGAGAGGTGTACGTTGATATTACACACTATATCATATTACAATATATGTCGTGTCCAAGCTGAACTGGGCCTGTTCGTGATGTCCCTTTTCTGTGTTGATTTTAGATTAGTGTCTCAAGTCTACTATTCCTTGTGTAATCAGAATCGTTTGTAACAATATACCCATTACGTTTGTCATCTCATAGTCCTTCTCTAAAGTGAACAAAAAAAATCCTTTGTACGTGTTTCTACTTTCCTATGGTGTTCCCCATCTTGATCGTCATGACCGATATGCATTTATACATGTAGGAGTGTACTTGTCTACTAATTTATATATTCTGGTAGTTTTCTTGAGTCAATTGTAAGCCTTTGATTTTAACCGGGAAATCTATTTATGAAATATTTATATAATGCACAACAAGAGTACAAGTTGCACAGTTACAAAGAATCCACAATTGTCACTGTTTGATTGTGATACTAGATAGTCACAGGCTTACAGTTAACTTACCAGTAGAAATATGTGCAATACTCCTAAACAGTGTTGTGCATTCGATTGAACCAAACGATGTATGTTTTGAGAACACGACATAAAACTGAGATAAGTCCTTTCCTTATTTAAGTGAAGTATGCTGCATCTCAGACCCCCTGGGTGTGTATATTCATTGTATATCCACATAGATTATGCAAAAAATCAAATGAATCTCTTCTTGTGTATATAGATGTAACATATGCTATTATAGTCTCAACATGCTGCATTTATGTGTAAGCTGATCCCTGAGTTGATATATATGCAAAAACTATCATGAGCCTGAAAGTACAAAATCTGAGTGACCGGCCCATGTTATATCACTGACTGTGTGGGATGTTCTCAAGGCAGTGCCGGGAATTGACCTCTTATAGCTAGCTATGTCATCAGTCATTTAAACAACAGACAGGAGTAAAAGTAACTTGCAATTTGCTATTATTCAGATCAGTAGCAAATTATTTTTCTACTCATATGGAATTATTTATAAATTATTATACTTATTTTTAGACAGAAAATTTCTGAAGAAAGTTACAATGAAAGCAAAATAAAATTAAGTGTAAATTATTATTTTCTTAGCATAACTTTTTAAAAATAAGGTTAGTAAGATTAAACATTGATTTGTTGTATTTTTATGAAAATTATATTAGATTGTATATTATTTTTGTTTGTAAGACTTGTAATGTAGGACTGTATCCTTTTTATCCTAAACCTGGTCCTCACTATGAGAACAGCTACACAGATCTGTGAGATGCAATGCAGACAAAAACACTGTTGAAGACTTACACATGTACGGCAGCTATACTCACTCCCATCTGGTCAAGATGGTTTACATAATATATACGAAAATAAATAACTATATACTCTCCCTTCTTGAGCAGGGCAAGAGAGGATGATAGTACTGTGCTGTGATGGAAGTTGGTGGCAAATAAGACAGTAGATGTTGATGACTTTTCAGTTGGTGATAAGTAGACAAGGAGCAAGTCTAGAAGCAGGAAAATGGTTTTGCCTGATCTATTTTCAGCTGTGATCATCAATTTGTGCCTTGTAGGTGGCACAACATTAGTCTGTGCTTGTGCACACAGTGATTTTATTAGCGTTGATCAAGTGGTTTTATTATTGTACATATCACGGCCGCAGAATTGGACTTCAGATAGTAAATATTACCTTTGTAACCAAAGAAATCCCATCTTTAATCCTTTCTGTCTGAAATAGAAGATTTTGTGAGGATTCGATATTAATCTGTTAAAAATTGATCTCGAAAAGGACATAATCACTTCTAATGTAAATCATACATTATATTTTGTTTACACACTGAAAATAATCTAATTTTTGCAAAGTGATAGAGACTATTTTTTAATTGCTTGTCAAATTCATCTCAAGCCAAAGGTCAAAGCAAGTACTGCTGCATTAAGCTAGTAGCTTAATAACTGTATAGAAAGAAACTCATTTTGTACATTTATGGAAAATATAATATTATATTTAATTATAGAGTAGCAAAACAGCAGTAGCAGCAACCAAAAATATATTCACATATCTAGATATTTAATATGCTGACACATTTTTGTGTATGTCCAAAATCAACCAAGTATAGTAGCATCTATGCTTGCAGTTGGCTTCTACTTCCATGTGAATATTGTCAGGTAGATTTTATACAATCAAACTTAAGTCTTTGAAAGCTGGCATTAATGCAGTACCCGGTTTCCAGAAGCTGTTGGTACTGTTCTAACACCATGATGAATAGGTTCCTATGTACAGTGAGAGTGTAGAAAGTTTATAGCATTTGTCAGGGATATTCATGATGGACATGTCTCTCATTGTGAGCTACACTTTGTAGAGCTGAGGTTTCTGTGTTTGTAGGCAAGGCACAGCCAGGACCCAAGACAGTAATTAAAGGATGGAGACATTTGTTGAAAGGAAATTAGGTAGACTGTAAAAACAGGGTGTGGTTAAGTTTGTAATTTTCTTGCAGTTGTAAGGAAACCCTTGTAAATTGTACGAAAATACATTGTGAAGGAATTCAAATTTCTAGCTGTAATTTGTAGGTTTAGGTGGTGAGTCAGTGATTTAAAGTGATGAAATCATTTTAAATAATTTTGAACATTATGATATGGCACTTTCAAATGTGTCTTTTTAGATGAACAAGAGCAGATAAATACTATTTTCTGACAACTGTCTATATACAGTGTCCATCTGAGGAGTCTGCATACATATTTCATTGAGTAAAGGTTCCAGTATCATGGCCCTGTTTCACAAAGCTATCGTAGCACGAAGACTATCATCACTCCTATAGATCAGCATAGACTTACGACCATTGTTATGCTACGATTGTTTTTTGAAATGGGACTCAGGCCTCTGTTAATGTTGTAATCAATGTGATTGGATTTGTTGAATCTGGTATAGTGTGAATATTTGCAACATATCTTTTGTTATTTTACTGTTGTTAACATATCACATCATAACAGCTAGAAGTGTGTTCTTAACAGATTTTAACTTGAGAATTTACATGCACTTTTGAAGATTTTAACTCATGTGATAGCTAGGCCTGAAGTAGTGGGAACATTTATCTTCATAACGTGTTTACCTTACAAAAACATTAAAGTTGAATCTTTAGATAATTTTTATTCAAACTCAAAATATAAAGAAAACTATGTCTTTGTACAGAAATATAAGAAGTTACCATCAGCTCAAAATGTGATGAATGTTAGTCAAATGCTGGTTATGTTGAACAAAGTCGTATTCCCGGTACTATATTCTCTGACAGTGGAAATAGACAGTTGGTTTGTACTGATCATGTGAACAAGAAAGACATTACATTATGACATTATATTGCTCCCCTGGTGATTGTTATGTTTGAGTTGACTGTATGTCTTTTTTTATCTCTGCTTGCCATAGACCTGAGTGATCTGAAAGGAAGTCGTACTTCCTCAGAACCTCTGTGCTGTTTGGTATGGGGTGTTCTCTTGTCTTGGCATGTAGAGGCGTTGGGTACAGTGCTCTCTTCACAGCTTTGTTTCTTCAGATCATGTGCCATCTTTGGGAGATCCCTTCACTCACTAGGGTATTTGGCAATGACCCACTAGCTCCAGCCATTTTGGCTCATGTTGATAGGACGAGAGGAATTTCAAAGATTATGGAGGAGTGGTTGTTTGTTGGTATTGTTTTAGTTGAGTAAAATTTCAACTTCGCTGCTTTACCATTTTCAGACATGGCATTACATACAATCCAAATTTGTTGCATTTAATTTTACAAAAAAATGACAGAAACTAAGATTTCATATATTATTAGGATTTATGTTTTCCAGAATTTTGAAATTGTTGATTGAAGTTATGGACAATATTAATTTCAACTGTAGAAAGGGATCTCCAGCCAAGTCATACTCATTATCATTTTGGTGCCTGTTCAATGGCAAATTGTCCTGAAGTGTTCTTGTGTGGAGAGCTACTGTACCCAACGCAGCGAGAAACCGTCACTTGCTACATGGTCACAGCTACTAGGTTCTCACTCTGTAGAGAAGGAGTGACCCAGATGTGTTAGCATGCAATGTATGTGACAGAGAGATGTACATTTTCTATTACGCTCAAGTATAGCTCTTTTTGTACTTAACACACTGGTTGGTTGAAACTGACGATGTCAAACTCCACAGTTTGATAATACTTCCCCTTTTGAATATGAACCCACCGAAGGGAGAAGAATTGCGCTGGTCGCATGATCTCACCTGGTTTTGGTGGAATAACTTTTATTGTATTTTAGTCCTTATCGAGCTTCTATTGGCCAATTACATGATCAGCCAAAAGCATGTTTACATTTCCAGATGCAAATTTGTGAGTTAATGTCTGTCAGTCCTTAGTTGTGTTATGTTAATTTCTCCAAATTGTCTTGATGTTGTGCATACTTATATCTTGCCAAAATGTTAAGTATGTCTTCCTTACAACTACTGCAAAGAAATTTATTTCAGCCAACCAAAGAATGTAAATGGCAAATGTACTAACATTATCATTGTTTTTAGGTGTATTTTAATTATTGCTGTAACACTTTCAGTTCTTTCTATTTGGTTTGTACAGTAACTCTGTAATCAGTAGGTTGGTACTTGTAGAGAAATGTTTCTGTATTCATCTGATCCATTTCTGTTGATTAGCTTCCATGAGTACAGTATTTGTCAGTATATTGGGTAAAGAGTCTTAACTGATTTGAGACTTACAATACTCCGGAAGATGTGTCCAGGGTTTAAGAAAATATCATCAATAGAAACTGTCTGTAACCATGGGAACCTCTTCTGTACCATAGAGGCTATTGCAGAGTCATTAATTCTGTATCATTCACAATAAAATCACAGCATTTAACACAAAATATGGGATTTGATAATGATTAATTTAGGAGTAAGCTAAGTTCACCATGCACACATATTAATATTTTAATTATGGAAGCATACTAATCATGCACATAAATAAAATAAATCAGTCATTTGGTGTAATGGATTCAACTGATTGGCATATTTTTAGCAAACCTGGATTTTTTCCTGAAATTTCTTTACTCACCTTTTTCTTTTTAATTGTGATAACATGCATCCTTCAAAAAAAAAATTAAAGCACCTGCCAACTCTACTTCACCAATCGAAATACGTTGGTTTTGTTCATTTACTAACTTGAGATTTCACTGTGGTGTGAACTATTTCATAGGTAATACAGTTTATTTCTTGAAACTTTACTATGAGGGTGTCTACTTCCACGCCATCCCCATGTTTGTCGGCCAATAATTCCCTCTATGGTGTAGTGGTGTAACCATGGATACGAACCAAGCAATGAACAGCCTATGCCTTAACTGACCTCCATCAGTATGTCAGTACCAAGTGCCTTGAAACCATTCTAGCATTCTTCATATCATCAACAGCATAGTTTTATATTCAACTGTAAAAAGCTTTTTCATATACACTATAATATACCTCAGAGTAAGTGTGAGTATTATCCCATTTGTGTATCATGCTAGATCCCCCCAATGCTATCCTGTAGGAGAGACTAGACTGCTGCTGTATCCCAGCCCTTGTTGCCACCACCACTGCTGTTTGCACACCTCCGTCATGGTAAGCTCCTGCTGTGTATTACCACACATTTAACTTATCTCTTCATGAAATTGTTCACAGTACTTTGCTGTAAGAATGGTCCTGGCTGAAACTGGCTACCTGATCAAATACAGCCAACTCCCAAGTGTACGATTGTATTAAGAACTATATTTACCACAATATATTTTATGTATGTGGAGCATGGGAATTTGTACAGAAAAAAATTGAAATAAATAACTATTTGAGCAATGTTTCTGTCTTTTGTTGTCTGATTTTGTTGTCTGATTTTCCCTTTTGCTATTGGCTTGGTACTTTGCACTTTGACAAAACATTGTATTCGGACCCTATATGAAAATCCAACACACTGTGCATGAAGATATCATAAACACAAATGTTTTCTGGAAATAAAACAAAGGATAGTATTTAACTGCCCAATATGCATTGAATTTAGTTTTGAAGATCATTTTGGTGAAGTTTTTCTCAGATTTTAATATTATTTTGGCAGGAATATCTTAAACCTATCTTTGAGCAAAGAACAAGGATTGGTGACCTTGTGGACCATCCAACATCTAATACCACAAAGCATGCTTGACCCATGTCTTGTGTCTATGAACCAGGGTTCCGCTGTACAAAGCAACCTTAGCACTATGCCAGTCGTAAGTCTATGTTGAGGTATGGTATTTACGATCACCTTAGCCCTAAGATCGCTTTGTAAAACGGCACCCTGGGCCTAGATTTTCAAAGCTTGCTTATCGCTAAGACAGTCATACATTAATGTAATTGTATGGCACTTACGACCATCTTAACACTAGGAGTGCCTCAAAAATCTAGGTCCCGGTTTGTCATTACTGCCCACTGCCTCTGACTGCTCCTTTGCTAATGCATCAAACATCTTCATCTTTAATGCCAGTGGTCTCCCTTTGCTTTCGAGCGACCTGTACACATTGTCATTTCATGACAGATGCAAGTGACAATGACAGACAGTTTTCACTGAGATATCAGTTGGACAGCAAATGGATCCTGGTTGTCCAGTGGTTAAGGACTCCTCATGTGAAAGCTCAAGAAGGTTTGTCATTTCATAAGGGTGGAGGGTAGACTAAGGCTTAGTCTCTGAATATATATAATTTTGATAGTAACAAACAAGCCCATTTATATTGAAAAGGAGCCCTACGGAGACCAGAGATTCAGAACCTGAGGAAATCTAGACTTGCTTTATTTAGGGCTTTAGCACTGCAGAGAGGGCTTGGCAGTAGGGAAATTAATGTGGTTCAGGGACTGTGAGACAGACTAGGGTGGAGGGGTACCCTAGTGGTTAAAGTGTTCGCTCGTCACGCTGAAGACCCAGGTTCAATTCCCCACATGGGTACAATGTGTGAAGCCCATTTCTGGTGTCCCCTGCCGTGATATAGCTGGAATATTGCTAAAAGCGGCATAAAACCATACTCAGTCACACATCATTACATCACTAGGTTTTCACTCCTGAGTATTCACAATTTTCGGTGTTGTAATTGCTGCACAGAGGAATGTAGTGTTTAGCAAACCTGTGAAGTATAAAGGATGCCGTGCCAACAAATTACACGTTTTATTGTAGTATTGCCACATGGAGCTACATACATAGTCCTTCAAAGACACACGACCATCAGTGACTGTGGCCTCAAAGCATGGTCACACTAAACCTCAGTAGTTCAATTACTTATCCAAAGGTTGTTCATCAAGATGAACATGTTCCTAAGAGTAATGATGAGTAGGATAAACCATACATATCCAACAATGAATTCAATTACTGCTGTCAACTTTACTTCAACATGAACTTGTAGTGGCAGCTATAAAAAAAACAGGTATTGTGAAGGGATCTGAACCATGGAGCCTCTGAACCTAGACTGACCCTGTCACTATCAGTTCAAATGTCTCTGTAGGAATGACCCATGCCTTACTTCATGTACCCAGTTCCACAGACTAATAGGGGAGGGGGCGGTGGGGTAGCCTAAAGGTTAAGGCGTTCGCTCGTCACGCCGAAGACCCGGGTTCGATTCCCCACATGGGTACAATGTGTTAAGCCCATTTCTGGTGTCCCCCGCCGTGATATTGCTGGAATATTGCTAAAAGCGGCGTAAAACCAAACTCACTCACTCACTCACTCACTCACTCACTCACAGACTAATAGATCTCAAGGTAAGCATGTGAAAGGAAATACTGAAGCATGTCTTGGATGTTTGCCACTTTGATGAAGCCACAAGTATTAGTAGGGTGCACACAAACCTAGAAAAATCACAGATCTGAACCCACAATCCTAGTTCTCTGGGACACAACTATAGACACAAAACTTCTGTTTTTATGTCACCTGGACCTCCAATGACCCCGTTTTATTGGACTGAAGTAAGGCATGGGTCATTCCTACAGAGGACATCTGAACTGATAGTGACAGGGGTCAGTCTAGGTTCAGACTGACTGACTGACTGAGTTTGGTTTTACGCCGTTTTTAGCAATATTCCAGCAACATCACAGCGGGGGACACCAGAAATGGGCTTCACACATTGTACCAATGTGGGGATTCGAACCCGGGTCTTCGGCGTGACGAGCCAACGCTTTGACCACTAGGCTACCCCACTGCCCCACGTTTTATAGGAAACATTCAACAATTCCTTCAGTGACTTTGATTCAGAACACCTAGTTAAATGTTAGATTTAACTTTGCCATTGCTCAAAAATATAATGGTTGTAATTTTATCTGAAACGGTTCTGAAAACAGACCAAATTTAACTGTTCAGATACACATTCCACTTTCAAAAAGTATTCAATATTTATATGATGTAAAAAGGTAATGTCAGGAGTGGCTTAACTTTCACCCACGCATATACATGGGAAATACAAATGGGAACATTGTTGAAATAGATAAAATTTCTGTGTCGACCTAGTACAGTTATTTCTAACATACAAGTCAAGAAGGAGAAACTTGACTTTCTCCAAGTACAAACACATATGCTATTGTACAGAAGTAGAACTGATTGCCTATCGTATATCTAAGATTGTCAACACTTAGCAGCCTACATAAATATCTTATCTGTACCAGTGGTGTTGGGCTATGATAGGTAGAGCTTTGTTTGTCCAGCCACAGGTCAGGAAGCCGGCAGTGTTTACATTAGGGACATCCCCTTCGTGGCACCGCAGATAACCCCAATACACTACAAACACTCTTATCTCCCTGCTAGAGGTGCTGGACAGGTCAGTCAGTACATTCCCATGTAGGTCAACAACACACTTTGCACCGTCATCCACCCATGGGAAGATACAAATACATATGAAAATTAGCCTGACAGGTTTTTCTCTTGCCCAACATGGCAGCAGTACCATAGGTTCAGAAGCTTACCTTTATCCGGTGATAAAGCAGTTAGAGATTTCAGTGAAATTAGGTTTGATGTCAGACTCCAGATCATTGCACACGTATATAGACTGGTGTGTGCGTGCATGCACACACGTACTAGTTTGGCCGTGTGCTAGTTTTATTGTACTAGCCCACTTAGATGCTATGATGAGTTAAACATGGATACCCAACTCAAGATAGAATGCTGACTCAAGTTAACCAGTCTGTTTTATCCATTTATTGCCAAAAACCAGGCAGGTAACATAATGTACAATCTATTAATGTCTCTTTCTAAGGGATGAAGGTTACTCTAACAGGTTATACATATCATATAAAATACATACTAACCAATACTTGGAAGCACAGAACATGAGTTAAATGATCTGTTATTTCGTTTTAATTTTAGTCACAGAAATAAAGTTACCGTATTTAAAAATATTTATCTTAAAAACAAAATAAAAAAGGATCCAGATAATTCCTAATTTCAGGCTTAGCGTCTTGCCCAATCACTGTAGACTAGAGTTGGACTCCTATATAAATATATCCTCTATGGTGTATATATTGACATACATCCCTGGTACCTATGATCCATGTGAAGGGTTTACATACAAGAGAGATGTAATGAGGCTAAGGGCTGTAGATATATACTGGACAAAAAAAATTTGGGATATATGTAAATTTTGAAATTATGAATAATGATCTATTTATTCATTGACACACTAATAAAATATCAATCATAAAAACACCAATATCCCTAACTTATTTTGTCCAGTATATATACAAATCCACAATCAAGTTTTGAGAGAGGGAATACATTTCCAGTTGAAGAAAGGGACTCAAGTGTTTTTGAAGTCTATGCTACAAAACGTGACAGTAGATAGTCATACGGAAAGATGCCAGTCATTTACTACTATCCAGAAAAATGAATCAATGTTATCTATCAAGTGTAACCAGAGACCATATAATATATAATCTATTATATGGTCTCTGGTGTAACATATTGATAACATAACATTACACTGATTACAAGCAAGGACTGGTGAAGCTAAGCATCAGTTCTAGTGGCTGGATGCACTATGACTGCAGCCTGTAGACTGTCCATATAACCCATTCTGAAGTCTCTTACAAGCATAGGTGTGAGACCAGTTCTTATCTGGAATCCCCACAAGATACAGACACACTTCAATAACCTGGGCCAAGTAAATCAGTGGCTGACAGCACCAACATCATAAAGCACTATCAGGAACGTTGGGACACAAATATAGCTGATCCTAAATAGTTTATTCTTTTGGACAAGTATATAACACTGGGGACCTACTCTAACCTGGATAAAATTCTCATGACTGCCATTATCAGGTTAAAAAGAGGAATAAAAACTAAAAACCAACTTAACAAACATCGTGATTTTTTATACTTATATAACACTATTCTACAATGTAGTTTATCACTCATAAAGGTATTCTAAAACATTTCAAGGATTCCAGGACCAAAACACTGGTGACTAAACTCTCTGCTAAAGAACATCAGATGTATAGATCTACTGGCAAACAAGGATAAGTTGGACCGGCACAGAGAATGCGTTTACGAGAAGTAAGCCGTGCCTGGCAATGAGCAAAAACATTTGGTTCGTGAAAGGTAGAGCAGATGTAGGCTAGTGAACGTGCATTGCATGACGATAAAATTGATTCCATGTGTAGCTGCACACGCCTTGCGCCTTGTTTCACCCATCGCCCTACACTTAATCACGGACAACCTGGGGCCCCTTCACTAACAATGGCAAGCGCCAGTAGGCGGCACTCATACACGCTAATACGAGTCAATTGTCAGGTTGGTGCTCAAGTTATCCTTGTTTGCCAGTATAAGCTAATTTTTTGTCTTGTTCACAAACTCAACAGAGTAACTGTTCAAAGGGAGATAACTCTAAAAGGGAGATAACTCCAATGCAGCTGTATTATCCTCCACAACCACCAACCAGAGCATGAATAACTTGAAATTCATATCAGTTTGACCGAATCAATATTTCCATCGTGTGGTCTTCAAATGCACTGCTGCAGAGCCAAAACTGCATGTAAAAAAATGTCACAAATTCATTTACAAATATAACTTCTGATGCTCACAAAATGACATGAATCTGAATTACACCTACATTATTACTGGACTATATTTTCACAGAAATACATTGTATATCAGTATGGCTGTTGAAAGAGTTTCAACTCTCTGAAGTCTGAGGCTGGGTCATAACCCAATTGGAAAAACAGGGGCCAGGTCATATCTTGTCAAAACTACAAAGGGTGTTAGGAAATATTGTATTCGACAAAGTGTAATAGTGGGTTCCACTTTGTAAGTTCGAAGCTCCACATCATTCTGTCACAAGACTGAAAACAGCAAATGTCTTGTCATAACCTATGATTGATATTTTCTGCCCAAAACAATACCACGGAAGACAGGATGACCATTTGTTTGAAATATTTATTCACTGGAATTTGGTTTTTTTGCAGCATCACAAGATTCTATCCATAAGACAAGTTCTCTCAATAACACCAGGTGGGTATGCCTCCTACTCACTGGCCTCGACAAGATCTGATCCTCGTCTGTGCTTATGCTTGTGTTTATGTTTGTGCTTATGCTTGTGCTTGTGCTTCCGTGACCTTGAGTGCTCAATGTCAAGAGAGTTAGCATCTAGCTCGCCATCTTCTACTCCCATTGACGACACTCTCGATGCCACCTCACCATCATCTTTGGCACCGAGCATTTCCCTTTCCAATATATCATAGGCATCATCTTCCTGATTGGATGTCATGTCTCGTCCATCCCTCCCAGTCTTCCTCGCCATCCTGGACCCATCCTCTGTTTGTGAGTTGGTCTCCATCCCCACAGCCCCCTCAACCTTTCCTCTCCCACGTGACCCTTCACGCCCACAAGACTCACTCCTATCATGTGACCGATGTCGGCGATGATGTTTGCGGGATGATCTATCACGTTCATATTGCCTACGTTCATCCCTATCTTCTTCCTTTCTTCTGTGTCTACGTCCATCCCTCTCTCCACCCTCCCTCTGATATCACGTCTCCTCTCTCGATCTCTGCTCCTCTCTCGGTCTCTACTCTTCTCTCGGTCTCTGCTCTTCCCTCGATCTCTGCTCCTCTCTCGGTCTCTACTCTTCTCTCGGTCTCTGCTCTTCCCTCGATCTCTGCTCCTCTCTCGGTCTCTACTCTTCTCTCGATCTCTGCTCCTCTCTCGGTCTCTCCTTTTCTCCTGATCTCTTTCTCTTGTATCTGGCACATCACCAACTCTGTTAAAGAACCAACAGTCAGTGACTTACTGCCTACATTAGTCTTGATGATTCAGAAATATTTGCAGCATGGCAAGGAAAATTTAAACTGTCCTTCACACAATCTATTGGTATAGGGTTAGAAATCTTTATCAAACCTAGGGTAAAGTGGTTGTCCACAACTAAATGTCAATAGTCCTGCCTGAATTTTACAAGGATTAGCAGAATGCTGTTAGCTAGACAACCAAAACAAGACCAAGATATGTATCTCGAAACAGCCATTATACAATACAAAATATATAACATAGATACAGATCATAGCATGCTATCCTACAGTGTTTGTTTCTTGTTTAGAATCACAATCAGCAATATTCCATCTACATCAGATGGCCTGGGTTAGTCAAGCCAGGGACTGACTTTCAGCCATGTAGTAGGGGTATAATGACACAAAATCAACAATTCAGCCAACCAGACCATCCGATCCGTTACACTGGCTATTACGACCTGGATCAGGGTCAGTGTACCTTGATGTGGATGCTTCCCTCTGTGACTCCTCCAGGGTGCTGTCTGAGGTCTCCTTCACAGACTCTTCTGTGTCTGCACCGCCCAGCATCTTGATCTGGTTCTGTATCACCTCACGGATGATCTACAACACAGAGTGAGTGAGTGAGTGAGTTTGGTTTCAGGTCACAAATCGGTGAACAGCCGCCGAGCTTTTAGCAATATTCCAGCAACATCCTGAGAGTTTCTAGGGGACACCAGAAATGGGCTCACCTTACACATTTCACCCATGTGGGGATTGGGTACCGGTGGGTCATGTGACTATGCCTAACAAGCGCTTTAACCACTAGGCTACCCTGTGCCTCTACAACACAGACACAGCCATGTCATTTTGGGGACCATCATTAGTTGTTATTAGCTGATCTTACAAAACTGAAAATAATTTCACTAGGCTTATGGCTACATGTGCTGACTTGATAGAGTAAGTGACAGGGGTGAACCATATGCAGCTTAGTCAAAGCATTGAGCATGCAACATTAGAACGGAATTATTTCCTGAGAAAATATTTTTCTGTCACTAATGCATTTAGGTATTTTAGGTAGAACATCTGTAAAACATTCTGCAAATTGGTGTGTCCGATTTATAGCATGTAATAATGTTCACCTCAGTGTAGGACTTCTTTGTGATGTGGACATTTTTGGCCCGGTACGACTGTCTACGCCGCTTCATGTCTCGTAATTCAGCCAGCATCTCGTACTTGTTCTTCGGCCTGTCCTTGGAAAAACCACCTGCAAACACAGTCATTCTACATGATGCAAGCCCTGTTGTTGCCTGATATTGGTGTAAATGTGTACAGAAGATGTTGCAAGAGAAATGCTGCTGTTCACCATGCTCTTGGTCAAAGCAACTGCAGGGTTCCCTCCCACTGGAACCAGGCAGTTGCCCGACTATGAATAGCCAATAGATAGCAAAGCAGCTGTATTCATGGGAGACGGATCAACTTAGTGCATACAAAACAATAGTGTGGATGAAGTACAGAGTAATGATATATAATGTGTACATACATGCTCCCATAGGTAATTGTCTGAACAGTGTGGTTTCAGTATGGTGTACTACAGTGTCAAGACTCACATGGTCTCACTGTCAACATGTAGGACTGCTGATTAGGGCTGAGGTGATGTGAAAATACAGTGGAAGCCCTCTAAACCGACAGCCCTCCAATACGGCATGCTCTTAATATCGGCACTAGAATTTGGTCAGAGTGATGTTGTTGAAAAATTTAAGTCCCGCCTCCCAACTTTGATTGATGGATATGCGCCTGAAGATGTCTTTAACTGCGATGAGACTGGTTTGTTTTTCTGTGCTTTACTGGATGTTATCTTTATTGATGAATAAAGAATATGATGACTATCAACACGTTGTTCAGTCACAGAAGATCATTACTCAGGTTGAAAAGTTCTCTAAACTGGCATGCCCTCTATAATGGCATTTTTTGCCAGTCCCAACGAATGCCGGTTTAGAGGAATTCCACTGTAGACTTAACACCATGTGAAACATTACTGCACTTTAATGATTTAGAGATGTCTTGCCACTAGTGTTACTGCATCATCAGGAGGTGAACATGACAGATACAATATGTGTGTTTACTGTTCAACACCCCACTCAACAATATTCTAGGTAATCCAGTCTGGACCAGACAATCCTGTGATCAACAGCATGAGCATCGATCTGCGCAATTGGGAACCGATGACATGTGTCAACCAAGTCACCGAGCCTGACCACCCGATCCCGTTAGTCGCCTCTTACGACAAGCATAGTTGCCTTTTGTGGCAAGCATGGGTTGCCGAAGACCTATTCTACCCCGGATCTTCATGGGTCCCACCTCATTAAAACCAGAATAGGATGCAAGAGACCAATTGTAACCAAGAATTCCTACAGAAACAGATATAATACCTACCCGTGAAGATCCAGGTTAGAATTGGTCTTCAGCAAGCCATGCTTGTTGGAGAGGTGACAAAAATTAGGGGGTCAGACTTGGTTGACACATGTCATCGTATCCCAATTGCATATCGATGATCATGCTTTTGATTGATGGATAGACTCGATTATTTACAGACCACTGTCATAGAGCTGGAATATTGCTGAGTGCGGAAATTAAACAAACAAAACAACAACAAAAAGATATGATACCCTTCTTAACAACAGCCTGCCAGTCAATGGTGAGGAATTCATCCTTTTCCACGTTCAGCAAGTCATTGGCTGGCTTAGCTTTCTCCGCCACATACTGGTAGATGGCCTGACGTTCACTCGGGGAGAAGTTCACCATGTAGTCCTCCTGACTCACTGGCATCTGCCGAGGACCCGTCGATGCTGCAACAGAGTCAGACCCGACTTTCATTACAATGGTTTATGCAGAAAACACGCTCAACACAAGTTTTTGTCACATGTAGAAGGTTCAGATCAACTCTTCTGACTGTAAAGTCTTTGAATGGCAATTAGAAGTGATACACATAGAAGGTTGGAAGTTATTGATGTCAACTCGTTATATTATGAGGAACACCAGGATGACGAAGGAGTAGGATACACTCTATGATGCTGTGTTCCTCTTCATGAGTGAGTGAGTGAGTATGGTTTTACGCCGCTTTTAGCAATATTCCAGCAATATAATCGCGGGGGACACCAGAAATTGGTTTTAAACATTGTACCCATCTGGGGAATCGAACCCGGGTCTTCGGCATGACACCCTTGAATAAAAACTTGAGAATCATCTTATTTGTTAAAGACAATGACATATACCAGTGTTAGGGATTAAATCTAGAATTCCAAACTAAGCACGATTGACAAGAACAATCAGTTTCAGACAAATGAGGATATTTTTCAATTTTGCTAAATTTACATTTTACAAAATGACATCTCTTTCTTCTTACTATTCCTGTTATTATATTAAGTGGGAGACAACTCTGCATGTATTTGTTGTAACTATCTTACCATGAATTTGAAAAATAAATTTGAATTTGGGAACACTTCTGACATTTGCCACGAGCTTGGTGTTGAATATCAGCTGAATATTGGTGAAATATCGGCCTATGAACAGATTCAGATAAATCAGTGTGAATGTGTGCTCACATTGCAATAAGGTCTAAGGGATGCAACTCTGTCAGCCATACCACAGATGTTTATTGACAATAATACCCAAAGGCTTTGGTACCATTACCTTTCCAAACAATCTTGTTGATAATTTCTGCATCTGAAACAAATAACCCCAGGGACATGGTAAATCAGCTGAAAATCATCAAAACAATGCACAGAGGCTGACTTCTTACAGCTCTAATCTATGGTAATTGGGTCAAGGTAAAAAAAGCTCAAAGAAGTAAGAGATATAATGTATTGATCACTTTCAAATCATCACAGCACTGCACAATATTACACAGGCTAAAATATTACATTTCTAATCTATGGTAAATGGGTCAATGTACAAAAAGTTCAAAGAAGTGTGATAATTAACCTTTTTATATATATTTGAAACAGATTTGAAACAGCTAAAGTATAATTCCTGTAAAATGTTTTCACACAGTAACAATGTACATGATTTTCATGTCAAGATAGGATTACCTAGTTTGACTGGCTGGACAACAGAGTTCTCTGGGTCAGGGGGTCCCTTCAGTAGCTGGAGATGCTGCATGAAAAACATAACAAATGTAGCTGATGTTCCAAAAACATATGTCAAACATACACAGAGTTTCTTGCAAAAACACAAAATGAAAATAAATAAGTGTCTCAGAGATCATGATCAAAATCTGGTATATATATATTGCTGGTAATTGGTATGTCAAAGTAGTATATTCACAATAGTTCAGTACTATAACTCTGATAGTCATTTTCTGGGTTAGGGTTGATGTAAGTGCTCTTGAGTCAGGTGAGCTAGTGAGATGGGGTGGGTATTGCAGAGAATTTTCATATTGCGATATATTGCGATGCGACGGAAGCATATATTGCGATATGTATTGCAATATATTGCAAGGATGATTTTTTTAACAAAAACTACTTATAATCGAGTTAATGCTTGATTATAAAGCAAAAACACAACAAAATCACTATGATTGATTAACCTTTTATAAAAACTTTTAATCATGACAAAATAAAAAGTAAGTAACATTTGGCACTAATGAAACAGGGAAAAGGACAATTAAAAAACCGGAAATATCCAAAGATTTCCGACTGTTACGAAGTTTTACGAATGCATGTCAAAATACCGGTTTTCGATCAGCGTATCGCAATACGTATCGTTTTCATGTCTGAACCGGTAAATACCGGTAAACCGGTTATATTGCGCAGCCCTACTAGTGAGTGAGTATGGTTGTATGCTACTTTTAGCAATATTCCAGCAATATCACAGCAGGGGACACTTGAAAAGACCTGGGTCTTTGGTGTGAAGTGCAAACCCTTTAACCACTAGGCTACCCCACTGCTAACAATTTGACCTTTTAAATGTTAAAGTGATATAACCATTACCACTTCATCCTTGGGACAGCCCTGGGAGGTGTACTGACACACTTCGGTGTGTTTCTTCAGAGCTGAGGCTGGCATAACATGGCCGCTGTCATAGGGACAGACAACTCTGTCCTCCTTCTGAAAAGTGAAATAGCAATACTAAATTTGAAAGGCCACACTTCATTTTTCACTTGCTTTTCAGCAAACTAAATGATGGTAGCAACAAATATGATTGCAATCACATAGAACTCCTTCAACCATGTAAAAAAATACAGACTCATGCCAAAAGTATTCATTACTTCGAAGTTGATGATGTCATTTTGCTTAACGGGTCGAGCTTCATCAAACTGCAATTAAACAAGACTGGTAGTTTGTCTTACCTAATATTTGTTAAAATGACCCTTCATTTTCACCACTGCTTGCACACGATCAGTTATTGACATATAAGGCCAGACCAATTTTATTTCTTGTTTTACGGATCCGCCGGTCATATTTTTTCAAGAATAAGAAAAAAATATAAATTAATTTTCCCCGCTCAAAAAAATAAAATTTTAATATTTTTATTGGCCAAAAATGTAAATGTGCAAGAAAATGTTTTTAGAATTTTCTTTGCCCCATATACACTTCATAAAATGCCAAAAGTAAAATACTTTCAGTATTTAAAAGGAATATTACTTTGACTGGTGATTATTTTTTTTTATTTTTTCCTCCTGTCTTTAGGTTTTCTGAGGACAAAAATCTGTAAAACAAGAAATAATATTGGTCTGGCCTAAGCATCTGACTACCGTATATTACCGTAGATAAGCGGACCCCATACATAAGCCGACCCCCTAACTTGACCCTTAAAATCAGTGCCTTTTTTGTGGATTTATTTTGTGTAAATAGGTACGTACGAAACTAAATAATGACTAAGAGCAAAATATTTTGAAATAATGAAAACTGTACACTATAATATGTATTTTAAAAAAAAAATACTGAAAAATACTTTTGTGAAATTGTATCTCATAGATAAGCCGACCCCCTTCCACAGACTGTTGTTTTGGTCCTCACAATTTGGCTTATCTACGGTAATATACGGTATATCCCGTGGTCAGATTGACCCGTACGTCCCTGATGCTATGAAATACAACTGTACAGAGTATCATGACTATTGTACATTCCAGCATATTTGCTCAATTTCAGAGGAAGACAGTGATATTGTCAATACTGTCAATACTGTGTCATGTCTGTTACATATCTCTCGTAACAAACTTACCTTTGCAAAATGTTCTGGTGTCCATGACAACATCTGCAGTAAGGATGATATCTTATCTTGGTATTCTGCGATAAATTCTTTGAGTTGTTCCACATACTGTCTCCTGCCTATAATGGTCTCCTGATCAATTTCTGATTCCTCCATTCCCTTAAACATCAGGAAAATATGTGTATTTGTAAGATGTTACTAGTATTAGTAAAAACATTACATCACCAAAATATTAATGACATTGCATTAACATCAGGAAATTGTTCCTGAATTCGTTAAACACCTTCTGCATTAGACATTGTATCTGTGAAATTGAATTTTAGTATCTGTGATTTTAAAACACCTTGGGGCAAATAGTTTTATACATCTCTGCATCAGTATAATAAAATGTGTCCTTATTGTGCTTGTATCTTATGCATCAAAGATAATCCTCAGAATACACATCTCAGTATCTCCCAGAGGTTCGATTTCATCTTCATTTGACCTGTGAAGGTCAAGGTTAGAATATTGATCTTCAGTAACTCATGCATGTTGTAAGAGGAGACTAACGGGATCAAGTGGTCAGGCTCACTGACTTGGTTGACACATGTCATCGGTTCCCAATTGAGTAGATCGATGCTCATGCTGTTGATCACAGGATTGTCTGGATCAGACCCGATTATTTACAGACCGCCACAATATAGCTGGAATATTGCTGAGTGAGACTGAATGGTATTTTGTACATTGTCAAAATGTTTTAAAGTTAGTGAGATGTTTTATTGTCGTTTATGTGATTAAGAAGATACAAACGAAAGTTTCTTGAGAGTCATAAAACTGAAACAGTGAGTGAGTTAAAATTTAAAGTCACTTTGGCAATATTTCAGCCATATCTTGACTAAAACAACATATAGATTAACAATAATTAAAGATAGAGTATAAAATCCTGTCAACGAAGGACAGTAAAACAACTAGAATATCACAGATACAAATGTAAAACTAGTAATTAAATCTAAAACATTTTAACTATAGAGGACAACACAATATATAAATAGGATATAGATCACCAACAACTGACAGTAGATCACCATACTAGGGACCATGGGGACTTACAGTACCTTTGCTACCTGCATGGACCCTAGTTGGATTTACAACATCCCTTCAGCTGTTGGCGATTGTACGAAATGTTAGCCAAAATTAAAATAACAAGAATACTACGTTTAAAATCCTGGTAAGTTTAAATTGTCTTTGAAAGTTTGGGGACTTACGTACCCTCTCAGGAGGACAATAATTTTACGATACTTCAACCCCCTTTAAGGGTACAGCCACTAATAATCTCAGTTACTAATCCAAACTACCAATAATAAAATATACATCTATTTACAAACTATTCATCAAAATTTATCTAATAATTCTATTTCTTTTAAAAATTCAATAATTAAATGAAAATTCACAGTACTAAAAAGATCCTAAACAGTTTTTAGATTGAAATACTTATCCCTTGTGATGGAAAAAAAATATAAAACTGAAACAGTTAACAAGAGTACAATAGTAAATGTGACACAGAATATGCCTATTTTCACGTTATATTAACTGAGAATAAATAAGCATATTAGCAGACAAAGGTATTATCAGGAAGGTAAGACTGTAATCAAACCATTGCAACTCCAGTAAGAGCACTCCTCTAAAACAACAGCAGGTAAATGTTTGAATGGCATACCGTACAGGGGTATTTCGGTCGCTCAAGGTATGAGCGCTTTTGGTGCTTTTCTGTTCGCTAGATTAACAACTATACTAGTATATAATACCGTTGAACTCATACATACCGTTCCTTCTCAATTAAAACGGGAAACATGAGCGTAGGCTCTTCGCAACGTTAGAGATATCTACAATAACGCCAATCTTACGGCGTCGATGCGTGGAGCTTTGCAAGCACCTGTCAATGCAAAAGTGAAACAGGAAAGCTAGACCGGAAAACATGTCGCAACGAACTGCCTAACACGAACATAGATTTAACAATAATGATTTGTGGTCTAATCGAAATAATGATAACAATAACTATATTTCTTACACATTCCACTTAAACACATTATGATGGGCTATGTTGAAGACACAAAGTTATCATCTAAAATATATGTTTCAGTTGTAATAAATTTACGTTTTCACTGCACAATGCATTCATAAAAGGTTACCCCAAAAGAGTAGAAAATCTCTCCCTCCCTCTCTCTCTCCTGTACATGCTCTCCATAAAAATCATCATCACCCCGCCAAGCCATGAATTATGAACGGTCCCTTTAATTAATTATAGACATAATTTTTGTAGTTACCACTGTATGTGATATAGCATTATAAGGTGATTATATTACTAGTTTGAAAATGGGATTTTATGATACATAAGTTTGGTATCAGAGCTCTATGACCTGCCCATGCATAGTAGGCCTCGCCTCTTTAGTCCTAAGCTGACCTGGTTCAGACCTGATTATGCATAGTCGGCCTTACTCTCTCACTCCCAAGCTGGCCAGGTGCAGACATGGCTATATGATCTCTGGTAGGCCTTATTGTCTTACTCCCTCGCTGGCCTGGTTCAGACCTAATTATAGTAGACCTGACTCTCTCAGTCGTTGCTGACCTGGTTCAGACCTGACACACACACACGTGCACGCATGCACACACACACGCACTGGAATCATTTAATTTCTTACGTGCCCATACATATTAGGCCTCACTCTCTCAGCTGTTGCTGACTAAATGGTTCAGACCTGAGTATGGATATTAGTCCTGTCTCTTGTTCTCTATAGTATGCCTTACTCCCTTGCTCCCACCTGGTCTGGTTCAGTCCTGATTATGCTTAGTAGGCATCACTGTTTCAGTCCCTAGATGGCCTGGTTCAGACCAGACTGTATAGTAGATCTCGCTCTCTCAGTTGTTGCTGACCTGGTTCAGACCTGCCTATGCATAGTAGGCCTTACTCTCTCAGACCCTATCTGGCCTGGTTCAGACCTTTCTATATACAAGCCTCACTCTCACAGCCTGTGGCTGACCTGATTCAGACCTGGCTATATATAGTAGGCCTTATTCTGCACTCCCTAGCTGACCAGGTTCAGACCTGGCTATGCATAGTAGTCCTTACTCCCTCAGACCCCAGCTGACCTGGTTCAAATCTGTCGATGCATAGTTTGCATCACTCCCTCAGACTCTAGCTGGCCTGGTTCAGATCTGTCATGATAGTAGGTACTCAGATAGGATTATGTAAAATAGGCCTCACTCTCTCAATCGTTGGCTTGTCGGTTCAGACCTGGCTATGAATAGTAGGCCTTACTTTCCTGCCTGTGTTCAGTAGGCCTCACCCTCTCAATCTCTGCTGACCTGGTTCAGACCTGGGTATGCATTGTAGGCCTTACTCCGTCAGACCCTAGCTGGCCTGGTTCAGACCTGATTATGCATAGTTGGCCTTACTCTTTCACTCCCATGCTGGCCAGGTGCAGACATGGCTATGTATAGTAGGCCTTATTGTCTCACTCCCTCGCTGGCCTGGTTCAGACCTAATTATAGTGGACCTGACTCTCTCAGTCGTTGCTGACCTGGTTCAAACCTCACACACACACACACACACACGCACACGCAGACACACACACGCACACACATACACGCACTGGAATCATTTAATTTCTGACGTGCCCATACATATTAGGCCTCACTCTCTCAGCTGTTGCTGACTTAATGGTTCAGACCTGAGTATGCATATTAGTCCTGTCTCTTAGTTCTCTATAGTATGCCTTACTCCCTCGCTCCCACCTGGTCTGGTTCAGACCTGATTGTGCTTAGTAGGCATCACTCTTTCAGTCCCTAGATGGCCTGGTTCAGACCAGACTGTATAGTAGATCTCGCTCTCTCAGTTGTTGCTGACCTGGTTCAGACCTGCCTATGCATAGTAGGCCTTACTCTCTCAGACCCCATCTGGCCTGGTTCAGACCTTTCTATATATAAGCCTCACTCTCACAGCCTGTGGCTAACCTGATTTAGACCTGGCTATATATAGTAGGCCTTATTCTGCACTCCCTAGCTGCTCTGGTTCAGACCTGGCTATGCATAGTAGTCCTTACTCCCTCAGACCCTAGCTGACCTGGTTCAAAGCTGTCGATGCATAGTTGGCATCACTCCCTCAGACCCTATCTGCGCTGGTTCAGACCTTTCTATATATAAGCCTCACTCTCACAGCCTTTGGCTGACCTGGTTCAGACCTGGCTATGAATAGTAGGCCTTACTCCCTCAGACCCTAACTGGCCTGGTTCAGACCTGCCTATGAATAGAAGCCTTACTTTTCTGCCTGTGTTAAGTAGGCCTCACCCTCTCAATCTCTGCTGACCTGGTTAAGACCTGGCTATGCCTAGTAGGCCTTACTCCCTCAAATCCTAGCTGGCCTGGTTCAGACCTGGCTATATTTAGTAGGCATCACTCTCTCAGTCTCTAGCTGGCCTGGTTCAGACCTGGGTATGCATAGTAGGCCTTACTCCCTCAGATCCTAGCTGGCCTGGTTCAGACCTGGCTATGCATAGTAGGCCTTACTCCCTCAGACCCTAGCTGGCCTGGTTCAGACCTGGGTATGTTTAGTAGGCATCACTCTCTCAGTCCCTAGCTGGCCTGGTTCAGACCCTAGCTGGACCCTAACTGGGTTCAGACCTGGGTATGTTTAGTAGGCATCACTCTCTCAGTCCCTAGCTGGCCTGGTTCAGACCTGGCTATGCATAGTAGGCCTTACTCCCTCAGACCCTAGCTGGCCTGGTTCAGACCTGGCTATGTTTAGTAGGCATCACTCTCTCAGTCCATAGCTGGCCTGGTTCAGACCTGGCTATGCATAGTAGGCCTTACTCCCTCAGACCCTAGCTGGCCTTGTTCAGACCTGGCTATGCATAGTAGGCCTTATTCCCTCAGAACCTAGCTGGCCTGGTTCAGATCTGGCTATGCATAGTAGGACCAGGTTCAGACCTGGGTATGTTTAGTAGGCATCATTCTCTCAGTCCCTAGCTGGCTTTGGTTCAGACCTTTATGTCTAGTAGCCCACCGTCTCTCAGTCCTGGTTTGGCTGGTTCAGATTCTGCTCAGACTCGGCCAACACACTCACCTTAGAAAACTTGCTGGATCGATGTAGCATTATTTAACCTGGATACTGATCATGTTTTACATCTCAACGAGTGTGAAGTACAGCTGAATTGTTTATCTTGTATTGGTGATAATCTAGGGTCAGTGAGTGAGTGAGTGAGTGAGTTAGGTTTTGTTCCTGCCGCAATAATTCAACCACTAAGGTACCACTCTGTCCAACAGCTCTCTTGGTATTCCAGTGCAGATAAAACAACCAACAATATACTGATATTTTCATATAATTTATTCATGGCAAATAGCCACAGGTTTGGATAATGACATACATTAAACAGCAAATATTTGGCCCCCATGTAGGCTTGGAGTTAACACACAAGTTAATGGTGTTCCGATATCTTGATGGTCTGTACACTGTGTATGCATGAACAAACATTCTACTTACATATAGCAATGGTATTTATGGCTTGTTGCAAAAATATTGCTGTGTCACGCTCTTATTTCATGATTATACATATAATATGTCGCTTCACTCACACTTATGAAAGATTGGTAACATCATACATATTCAGTCACACACATAACAATAAGAAATCATTCTTTCCTAGTGTAACAGTTTCTTTTGGTAAAAGTGTAAATGATATAGATTCAATTAAAATGCACTATACAGCTATTTCAATATAAGAAATGCATATTTTTCTACTCTAAAATGAGAGTATGTTTTTGCTTGTAAAATAGATACTACAAAACATATTCATTAAAATGATAATAGTTTTAATATGAATTAGTACTAATGAATTTAGCACTATGAACAATGTGTTAACACCTCTGCATTGACTTTATAAGCCTATGTGACTAGACCATCGATATTCAGTGTAATTTAGTTGTTTCAAATTGAACACAAAATCATCAGTTATATTTTTCCTACAAGGGACACTTTTGTGTTGTTTCTTTGATCACTTGTAACACCTTATGGGTTATGCAGAGAATAAGCATTACTCTGCTTAAAGCAATGTTTAATAAAATTTACAAGTTTTTAACAAAAACAAATAACATCATTAGGCAAGCTTTATGAACACTGAATAGTACCAATTTGCTCCGTAAATCAAACTGATGGCAGAACCTATGCCTTAATAATAGAAACAAACTTCATATTTTCCCACAGTGCTACAGAGGATGAAGCAAGGTAGAATACTAAATATATGTTTATGAAAGTTTATTTCTGTAACACAAATTACTCCCTTCCTCTTCTCCAGTTAAAAGGGATCAACCATTCAATATTTGCAAAGAGAGAGATGGGGGAGAGGGGGAAGTGAACTGTTGGGCTTGGATTTTTAATAGACATATTCCTATTTCGTTATTGCTTATAATTTATCTCTGTAAAAGGGAGTAAACAATTTTTTGTTTTGTAATAATAATAATTTTCAGGATATTCAACATGTCCAATGGACAGTATTTGGGTGCGTATACAACCTGGACAGTATGTCCAGTGCTTCTTGAACTCTCCAAGTCCCTAACCTTCTCCAAGCCCCTACCCCCTCAGACCCATGGCCAAATATCAAATGATTTGTGCCTAAGTCATACAGAAAATCTTGTCATGATTGTTTCAATTGCATAATAAAACTTTGTGACAGAAAACGCAAACCCACATTCTTTACACCTATAATCTTTGAAATCATTCCCCCAGTGCTTACAACACTGTCATGAAGAAAGCATTACTACACTCTGTAACAAGGAACCGTAACATTGCTAAACATCGTCTTTAATAACATAGTAAACTCAAAATGCCAACAACAAACCACAATGCCATGACTTAAGAACAAATGCTTGTCTAGAACTGCCATTGTTGTGTCCGGAATGGATACGATTCATTGGAACAAGTCCAAAGGAGCTGAAATTTAGCCTCATGAAGTTTGAGGATAAAGCACATCCTAATTACAATGCATCTTGTATAAATAGCATACTTGGGGTCAATTTCATTGACTCTGCCCATAACTACAAACTAATGAATTATGCTAAGATATTATATGATTCAATGATCTACATAGTACAATACCTTGGAGTGCAATTACATACACTGTACAACAATGAAGGTTTAGTACACTGTATTCCATGATTTTAGTAATAAATGCTTTCAAGGATTTCAAATGCAAAAATAATGTTTCATGCGAAATGCATACATCACAACCCTTCTTAACTCTTGTATGATTTACAAGTAAATGCATAAAATTTCAAACAATGTATTTGCTTTGGATGAGCAAACATGGTCTAATGCATAATCAGAAATGCAGAAGGAATCTTGTACCATTTAGACAGACATGTTCATACCGGACTACAAGATTTTTTCTGTGCAGAATGAATATGGTTTTACAATGAATTTAGCAACATTCCAGCTACATCACAGGTGGGTGACACTAGAAACGGGCTTCACACTTTGTACCAAACTGGAAATCAAACAATGGAATTTGGTGACAAGCGAACACTTAAACCACTATGCTACACAACCACCCACCTGTGTTATGACACAATAAGATCCAAAGAAAATCCGCCACTTGTATTTTTGACATATCACATGTATGTATTATTTTTTTATTAAAATAATGTGTTTGGTCTATTGCCCATTTCAAATCTCAGTCTAAACACTGTAATATGTGTCAATGTGATGTACATCATGGATTTGAAATTACAGTGTTTGAACTATTTCAGTCACACGTTTTTAACTGCCTAAACTATTCTTGTCAAGTTTAAGTGGCTCTTAAGGACACCCCTTTAATATATCTGCTTCTTAGAAGGGCCATTCTGATCACTATGGCACACAAATAAACTGTAAATATACCGAAGGAAAAAAAAATAAAGGATCGCATATATTGTCTGACATATATATATATACAATAAGGACATGGATTGGAAGTATGCCCAGATGTTGCCAGACAGTTGCAAGAGCACGTGGGGGACATACTCGATACTGACTTTCTTCATTTAAACTGAAAACAATGACTCAAGTCTGTTATGTTTGATGTGATTAAAACCTGAAATTTCATGTGATCCCTTATTTTTTTTCTCTCAGTATAATATCCATGCTTCCAAAACTCAAAGACCAAAACACAATTATTTACTAGTTCAATTTTTTCAGTTTTGTAACATGGGGCATATGTTTGTAAAACAACTGGAACTAGTGAACAAGGAGAGGCACATTACTTCAACAAAGACTACAGCACATGCCTAGACATGAACTATATGTATGTGATAACACTCGAACACTAAACAGTGAAAAGAAATACTACCACTAGCTTGTTTCTACACTAGCACTACAGTGTCAACTTTGGCTCTACTGTTGTTTGGCTACAGTCGTTATCAACAACATGGCTGGTTTAACATGGAGCTTACACTACAACCAGTTCACTGCATGTGACTTTGGTAAATGGCAACCATACTTATCACATTTTCAATTCAGGTTCTCTATTCATAAAAAAATAATAAAAATAAACAGATGATAACGACTGTCTTGGTGTACAGGATTGTACTCAAAGGGTCATCAGATTTTATTGGCTTATTATGAACATTTTGTTGCACTTTCAACATCAGAGAAAATGACTTGTCGTCTTCCTGCTTTCCATATTGAGAAAGTACAGCAAACATGTTTGACTATAGAAATTATAAACAAAATGTGTGGGTTTTCTTAATAAAAATATATTAAACAACATGACTAATATATTCTGCATCTACCATGTTCAGAATATTACTGTTTTCTTCATTTCTGTTGATATCAATTAAAACGTACCTGTATATCCTGTAAATATCTTCCGATTTCCTGGCATCAGTGATTAGTTAGGGAAATATGTACAATATTATTGGACTCATTGGTGAAATCAAGAAACTTTATAAGAGAAACTCAAGAAGCATCTGACATAGTTTGAACAATAGTGATTGGAAATAAGGCAGGACCCTTAAAGAAAATTTGACATACTTTTCTCACCCTAACATATCAAAAAGTATTAATTAATACTAACACAATTTTAGTAATATTACCCATAAAGTAGAATTATCATGTGTGATATAGAATAATATCAATGGATTGTTGTGAAAAAATTCATATGACATCATCCATTGTTCATGACATCACAAACTGGTTACATGATGTCATCTGTCACTGCCTTCAGTGAAGTTTGTCTGTAGGGTTGGCATTTAATGCATTTGTATTTCATTTTCATGTGAATGTGTAATGTACATGAACAACCAAGAAGCTGGGAGGAATTACTGATGAATGAATGTTCAAAGGCTCGAGGTAAATACCTTTCATTCACTCAGGACAGGTAATCCATAATTGCGCATAGCTCGTTAGATATATTAAAACTTCATGTTTACCACATAAAACTGAGTAATTGTTCAACTGAATGTCAGACAATATTAGTTGACCAAATTACTCACACATATATAACACTCTGAAGAATGGACAAATATGTCTTTTCATTACCCCAACCCCTATTATCTTTGACTTTTGGTAAATAAATCCAAGAAATATATAAGTTTGGCATACAGTTAAAGCTTCATGTACTTCAATACATAAGAATGCAATCCTCACAACAATACTGAGACTTACCACCTACAGGGGTGGAAATAACTTTAAACTTGCTAGTGTACTCCGGAACAGTGGCACATGTAAAATCACTTGCCCTGATAATTTTTCCACTGTACCGGCCGTTTTCTTGTTGATTTTTTAAAATAAACAACATAATTAACATTGGAAAGTCAACTGGACACCGTACAGTGTGATATACAAATTTGCTTGCCCGACAGAAAAAAACACTGGACTCGGACGTCGGGCAATGGGTTATTTCCACCCCTGACCTATGTTCATAAAATTGTGTCACAATACATTTACCAGCAATCTACAGAAAGAATGCATGGAAATAAACCTAATTCTGCATAATGAAAGAGTTTGTGCGGAAATGTTAAAGTGATAAAGAAATTATCAAGTTCCAGTTAGTTTGTGCCATACGTGGATCTGTTTATCTTACACTGCTTAGTTTCAGAAAATGCAATACCCCTGAGAAACACAGGAACAGAAACTGGGAATATGTTACATTACACAAAAATGTAGGAGCGAATCTTAGGATCTCTGGCAGTTGTCAAGTTTTGATTCTTCTTTCCAAGTTTCTTGAAAAAAAACCATATGTTTCTTAATCCTTAGAGACAAATGATCACAAGATTGACATCATTACACAATAATCATGACTATAGGAATAAGATGATCACATGATCTCACATACAACTGTCACTGAAATCAAGTGATGTTGTGATTTTCAATGTTTTGGTCAAAGATGATCTAAAATGACTTAGCCAATGATATTTACATTTAAGATATACTAAGTACTGTACAGTATTTGCCAGGATTGTATATCTGGTACCATATACAGTAAATTGTGTGTACAGGTATGTCTTCTTTCACGTCAAGGTTTGTTTGTCCTTGACAAGTGACATTGGTGACATCTTGAAGCTTATGATTCAGAAAAATAGTTGGGGATAGGATGTACTAAAAGGGAGAGAGTGAGTGAGTTGGTTTTATGCAATGTATAGACTTATTCCACCATTATAATGCAAAGGACACCTGAAATGGGTTTCATAGATTGTATCCATCTGGGGAATCAAAACTGAGGCCTTCAGAGTGACAAGCAAATGCTGTAACCGTGAGGTTACCTTATGCCCCTGTGCCACGTTAAGGAAAGATGACATTTGGCCAAATGGGCTATGATCCAGCAATTATGCAATACACCTACATTTGCATGAACATCGCAACAATGACAATCTGAATACTTTCATTTTGATGTGACAAACATGCACCTAATAAAATATGTGGGACAGTAAATTTTTATTGATGGATACTCATGAACAAATTATCAATCTTGATATACACATCATGAGACACAGACACATGCTTATCCCTTCAAGTTGGCAGCAGCAGTTTCAAGTCGTGAATATGATCTTAAATGCTGCTCCATAGTCTGTACAGTTGACCATTCCTTCATTATATGGTAACCTAAGATGGCATCCTCATTTTAACAAGATTCATATAGATATAACAAGTTTTATGACAGAGGCTTCAATAGCGTTGTTTAAAACCATAAAATAATTGTTTGGTTTATAAAAAGATCCTTGACTTCAAGAGGTCTTCACAAAGAACCTGTGTGGATTGGTGTTCTAAAGCTTCACAAATGTCAGTGTATTGTCTGGTTGAGGACTAGACACACCATACTGTAGCAGAATATTGTACACCGGAACCATGGGATAAACAGGTTATATTACCAATGTTATGATGAATACGAAACCGGGTACCATGACAGCACTGACCGAGAACACGGCTCATACGAGTTAATTCCTGTGGAGCCATTGTGGTTGACTTCAGGATACGTATGATTGTTATGAAAGGATGACACGCTGTAGTATGCTGCTGCTGCTGATGACGATGATGCGGTTGACTTGGAGGAGGAGAACTCCGAAGATGACGATGACAACTGATATGCTTGTTTGGCCGCCAGTCTGGAAGAAGAAGAGTCAGGACCAAGGTTTCCACAAGATGCTGACCCCGACTCATTATATGTTCCAACATCACCAAATGGCGACTGCAGTTTGTCTCGAGGTGACACAGATGACGGTGGAGTCATGCCGTAGGAGTCTACCGCTGTAGTGGGCATAGAGACAGAAAGAGGGGTGGTGGTGTAGTTTGGCATGGTGGAGTTGGGATAGTGGTTGCCGCTGGCTACTGATGGTTTTGTGGAGATGAATGATGGCTGCTGTTGTTGTTGCTGCTGTTCTTTGAATGCATCACTGCCTGGTGGGGTCAGCATGTTCACTGGCATTTCATTGTAATAATTACTGGCTGGTCGCGTGTTTGTGCGGATGACAGATTCACGATTGGCATAGATGGTTCTGAGCAGATTTGTAGCTGGGAGAGTCTCCCCAGTATTGTTATTAGTATGTTGGGAACCTATCCACTGTATTGTGGATTTTTTTTGCGCAGATTGACCACTAAAGCGTAATTGTTGAGTGGATTCACTTTGGTTAGCTACAGAAGGAAGATGGCGGTTCATGACTGCCTCTAGTTCCTTCACAGAGTTGGGAGTAACTGCATTATTGCAGTCCATGTCCTTTCCCCTTTTCCAGTCTGAATGAACTTCACCGTGTATGGCCACAGACTGGTTGCTTACAGCGTTTGCCTTGACGGACAGGTCCTGTGGCGCGGCGGAGGTCATACTTACTGGACCTACGTCTGGGCTTTGTGACCCTGGTGATAGGTCGTGAGACACATTATTGCCCACAAAGTCACAGAGAGCTTCCTCACTGATAATCCTATGAGATTTCATCATGCCACTCTCCTTATCAGTGTCGTCGTCCTCAAGTTCAAACTCCTTCTTACGCTTGCGTGGTTTCTCCATCTTGCGTCTGCTGAATTTCGCATCCCGAACTGAATCTACCCTATCTGTAACTGTACAAGCAGACTCGTCAGAGAACACACGATCAAGCTCGGCTTTGCTGTTGTGTGTATCACTACCGAGGTCTTCCATCTCGCCTAATGCATTGCTGGACGGAGATTTGAGTCGGTCGTCCTGGTCAGAAGTAGGTCCCACACTCTCAGATTTGCTGTTGCTGTTTGTTCTGTTCTCTCTGTCCACTGGACTGCTGCCATCTACAATAAGAATGGTAATATTCAGTTTGGAGATAAACATCAACTGCTAATCACAGCTACCAACACAATAGGAAAATGGAAAATTCTCAGGGAACTATTACTGAACAGAAAGAACACAACAGAAACTATGTTGTACATGCACATTTTAAATATCAAATAATACAGTTATAGCTTTCACAAAAACAAACCTTTCCATAAATTATAAGCAATGAATGTTAGAACTACTTGTGCATTTGAAACAAAACTGGGTCCTTTCACCTTTCTTGTTGAAGGGTTGCAAATTAAATTCTTATCAAACAATGAAAAATACACAAGGCAATTAATGATTTTGGTTGGTTTACAGATTTTTTTTATTGTCTGTCCTAAGTAAGTGACTGAACTTTCGTTAATGCCAGACCAATTTTATTTCTTGTTTTACGGATCCGCCTGTCATATTTTTTTAAGAATAAGAAAAAAGTAAAAATGAATTTTCCCCGCTCAAAAAATAAATCCTAATGTTTTTATTGGCCAAAAATGTAAACTTACACAAAAACTTTTTTTAGATTGTTTTTTTCGTCCCATATACACTTCATAACTTGTAAAAAGTAAAATACTTTGAGTATTTAGAAGGAATATTACTTTGACTGGTGATTTTTTTTTTTTTCCCCTGCTGTCTTTAGGTTTTCAGAGGACAAAAATCCGTAAAACAAGAAATAAAATTGGTCTGGCCTAATGCTCGTCAACAAGCATTCTTCTCTGTGGTTATGGTTTTTGTAATTTAAGGCACAAAAAACACGGGAACATCACAACTGAGCAACCAGATATATTATATCAAAGGGCCTTGACACTTTTTGGTCCACATCTCTTCAAACTTTACAGTAGACACTATGCTTGTATTTGGGAATAAATCCTTTTTGAAACACATACAAATTTTAGTGACATTTTATGTTAGAGTCATATTAATATTAATTTCATCTTGTTGTTTTACATGTCAGTTGATCTGTAAACCCAAACCAAAAACATTTATTTTTACAAAATTCTGGAAAGAAACAAACCATCTCCCAAATATTCCGCATGCAGTGCTCACATAAGAAGTGTAAAGTAACAGGAAACGTAATGATGTGACACATAAACACAATCACCAAACAAATGCATAAAACTTCAAAGGTGTCCTGTCGTTGAGGTAGACTGTCTGACTGTCTTCCAGTCAGGTAGTACTACAATACACTAAGCACGTTGTCACAATCACCTGAGTACGTCTTACAAATACAGATTTGCTAACTGTCCTGTCGTTGAGGTAGACTGTCTGACTGTCTTCCAGTCAGGTAGTACTACAATACACTAATCAGTCAGGTAGTACTACAATACACTAAGCACGTTGTCACAATCACCTGAGTACATGTCTTACAAATACAGATTTGCTAATTGCTAATGAAGAGTAAACGAAGCAACTTGAAACATTTTCAAGAATATTAATGACATCAAAAGTTAGTGATTGAGAGTGAAAATAGTTTTGTGCCAATTTTAGTAATATTACGGGAACACAAGAAATGGGCACATGTGGGGTATAGAACCTGGGTCTTCAGCTTGATGAGCAAACACTTTAACCACTAGGCTACCCCACCACCCAATGTCAACAGTATGTGTTACCAGCAAGTTGTGATTAAAATAAGTGCATTTAAGGCCATAAATATCTTAATCCTCCTTGAAAAAGATGTAAAAACATATTCAACCAAAACTTCCCATTATCATTTTATTCCCTGATGTTAAACATCATGCCAAGGAAATGACTGATGTGACCTCAAAGAAAATGTAAGAAAACTTAGAAGTGACTGTTTGGATAACAGAGCTTAATGTCATCGTGAAACATGAGTGAAGTTGGTGCCCCCTTGTGGTAGTGCTATACAACAACAGGTTTACCCATGGGAGATACATGTCAAAATCCCATGGCCATCTCATAGCCATCCAGCCCTGACAAATGGTTGTCAATATGGCTGCACATCTCAGGGCTCTGTCTGTCTGCTGAATGTGCGTATGCTGAAAACACTGATAGCAGTACAGCAAATTAAATGTCATATAACGCAGGAACAACCTGTTTTATGCACAGTCAGCAATATTCTAGAGGTATCATGGCATCCTATAATATTCCAGTCCGCCCCAGGCAAACCAATGGTGACCTAATTTGACCCATCCTGATCACCTTGTCCTCATCAAGCTGACCAGACTGAGTGAGTGAGTATGGTTTTACTCCACTTTTAGCCATATTCCAGCAATATCACTGAACGGGAGACCAGAAATGGGATTCGCACATTGTACATGTGAGGGAATTGAATCCGAATCTTTGGCATGAAGAAACAACATTTTAACCGCTAGACTGCCCCATCAGCCTTGATCAGCTTCAAGTGCTGAAGGACCATTCTGAGTTGAGTGTATATCAGCTGGTGTTTATAATTTGGACAAGAGTAGAGACATGGGTAGTGACAATGGTTCATATCACGTCTTCCACTACCAAACCATATCTTCATATCTGTGAAATAACATACTGTCTCTAAATACCTCCTGAGAATGGTTGGAACCTGCCATTTTGGACTCCAATTCTTTCATTAGGTATAATTTTCACTTTTATTATATCGTCCAGTGCTATTTTCACTTCTATGATATTTCCCAGTGCAATTTTCTCAACTATGATATGTCCCAGTGCAAGTTTTACTTCTATGATATCTCCCAGTACAAGTTTTACTTCTATGATATCTCCTAGTTCAATTTTCTTCTATGATATCTCCCAGTGCAAGTTTTACTTCTATGATATCTCCCAGTGCAAGTTTTACTTCTATGATATCTCCTAGTTCAATTTTCTCTATGATTTCTCCCAGTGCAAGTTTTACTTCTATGATATCTCCCAGTGCTATTTTCACTTCTATGATATCTCCCAGTGCTATTTTCACTTTTATTATATCTCCCAGTGCAATTTTCACTTCTATGATATCTCCCAGTTCAAGTTTTACTCTGATGATATCTCCCAGTGCTATTTTCACTTCTATGATATCTCCCAGTGCTATTTTCACTTTTATTATATCTCCCAGTGCAATTTTCACTTCTATGATATCTCCCAGTTCAATTTTCACTACTATGATATCTCCCAGTGCAATTTTCACTTATATATCTCCCAATGCAATTTTTACTTCTATGATATCTCCCAGTTCAAGTTTTACTTCTATGATACCTCCCAGTTCAAGTTTTACTTCTATGATATCTCCCAGTACAAGTTTTACTTCCATGATATCTCCCAATTCAATTTTTACTTCTATGATATCTCCCAGTGCAAGTTTTACTTCTATGATATCTCCCAGTACAAGTTTTACTTCTATGATATCTCCCAGTTCAAGTTTTACTTCCATGATATCTCCCAGTTCAAGTTTTACTTCTATGATATCTCCCAGTGCAATTTTTACTTCTAAGATATTTTCCAGTAGAAGTTTTACTTCCATGATGTCTCCCAGTGCAATTTTTCACTTCTATGATATCTCCAGTCCAAGTTTTACTTTTATGATATCTCCCAGTGCAAGTTTTACTTCTATGATATCTCCCAGTACAAGTTTTACTTCTATGATATCTCCCAGTTCAAGCTTTACTTCTATGATATCTCCCAGTTCAAGTTTTACTTCTATGATATCTCCTAGTTCAATTTTCTCTATGATATCTCCCAGTGCAAGTTTTGCTTCTATGATATCTCCCAGTGCAAGTTTTACTTCTATGATATCTCCCGGTTCAAGTTTTACTTCTAAGATATTTTCCAGTTCAAGTTTTACTTCCATGATGTCTCCCAGTGCAAGTTTTACTTCTATGATATCTCCCAGTGCAATTTTTCACTTCTATGATATCTCCAGTCCAAGTTTTACTTCTATGATATCTCCCAGTGCAAGTTTTACTTCTATGATATCTCCCAGTTCAAGTTTTACTTCTAAGATATTTTCCAGTGCAAGTTTTACTTCCATGATGTCTCCCAGTGCAAGTTTTACTTCTATGATATCTCCCAGTACAAGTTTTACTTCTATGATATCTCCCAGTACAAGTTTTACTTCTAAGATATCTCCCAGTACAAGTTTTACTTCTAAGATATTTTCCAGTTCAAGTTTTACTTCCATGATGTCTCCCAGTGCAAGTTTTACTTCTATGATATCTCCCAGTGCATTTTTTCACTTCTATGATATCTCCAGTCCAAGTTTTACTTCTATGATATCTCCCAGTTCAAGTTTTACTTCTATGATATCTCCCAGTTCAAGTTTTACTTCTATGATATCTCCCAGTTCAAGTTTTACTTCTATGATATCTCCCAGTGCAAGTTTTACTTCTATGATATCTCCCAGTACAAGTTTTACTTCTATGATATCTCCCAGTACAAGTTTTACTTCTATGATATCTCCCAGTACAAGTTTTACTTCTATGATATCTCCCAGTGCAAGTTTTACTTCTATGATATCTCCCAGTTCAAGTTTTACTTCTATGATATCTACCAGTGCAAGTTTTACTTCTATGATATCTCCCAGTTCAAGTTTTACTTCTATGATATCTCCCAGTTCAAGTTTTACTTCTATGATATCTCCCAGTGCAATTTTTACTTCTAAGATATTTTCCAGTACAAGTTTTACTTCCATGATGTCTCCCAGTGCAAGTTTTACTTCTATGATATCTCCCAGTACAAGTTTTACTTCTATGATATCTCCCAGTGCAAGTTTTACTTCTATGATATCTCCCAGTACAAGTTTTACTTCTAAGATATTTTCCAGTGCAAGTTTTACTTCTATGATATCTCCCAGTACAAGTTTTACTTCTATGATATCTCCCAGTTCAAGTTTTACTTCTATGATATCTACCAGTGCAAGTTTTACTTCTATGATATCTCCCAGTTCAAGTTTTACTTCTATGATATCTCCCAGAACAAGTTTTACTTCTATGATATCTCCCAGAACAAGTTTTACTTCTATGATATCTTCCAGTCCAAATTTTACTTCTATGATATCTCCCAGTACAATTTTCATGTCCCCAGATACAATCTTTACTAATGGTACAATTGTCATTGGTATAGTTTTCCCAAGTACAGTTATCAATCATACTACATCAGACCTCTGGTGGGGTAAAGTTTGGGAAGTCAGTGGGGGCAGTAGCCATCCCTTTCCTCACTATTTGTTATTCAACAGACACATGTACAACAGGATTATGCATACAATAAACAAAACAACGGTGAAAGTTTCAGATACTGGTGCAGAAATTAATAACTACATTATTACTCCACAACAAGGGAAACAAGTAGACACAAGCCCAAGGATACAGAAGCTCACCTATATAAATATTCAAAAGTGTCAAATATCAGCTAAGACAAATATGTAACACAAAGTGATCTTAACATTGACATCAAAAACGTCCTGCTTACATTCTGAATGAAAGTATTGACAGAATATAAGAATCAAATGTCAACAATATCTTTTGATCTGCACTTATAAATGTAATATTGTATAACATTGTTAATGTGGAAATGTAGAATTGTGATTTCTACCTATTTCTGACAAAAATCACCACCAACAACAACATCACAATGATTCAAAGAAAACATGATGTATTTATGAGAAGAACAATGCATTGATTAATTGGAACGTTTACGTGAGGTTTCAGCTTCATTGGTCAAGTGATTCTGTGCAGAAGCAGGCCATGTCATAAACTCACGCATGTCGTCAGTCACATGAGCTAAACTGTAGTTTGTTTCCTACACTTGGTATATTAACCAGTTACTGTTATGTTTATAGCCTCATAATTCATAATTCTAGAGTCTTGGCATGACAGTCACATCATTATCAGACATGCACAATGACAAGCACAGTGTACCTGCTAGTGTTGGGAATTGGTTAAAATCTCATAATTGATGATTGGTTCATTACAACCGATCAATCATCGAAAATAATTGGTTAGCGTAATTTATGAAATTTTCCTGTCTGCACAAAAACATAAAGAAAAAACTTGCAGTTCTTTGGTTGTTTTTTCCACAAATTGCACATCTTTAAAGGACGACTAGTATGTTAGGAACATAAATTTCTTGGGGTCTTTAAGATAAATTCAATCATGACTTGGACCGAGCTTGTAGTGCTCATGAAATGTAACAGACAAAACCAACCTTGTGAAAAAAAATTGCTAATGCAAAAGGTGTTCCAGAATTGTTTGTATTCGATTATGAGAAAACATGATCGATTGCTTGGTCGTTTAGTCACTGCGACCAATCTTCGATTATTTCAGTTAATCGGACCACCACTAGTACCTGCAACTACTTCACTGAGAATACTATGTACTACCATGGTTTAACATATACTAGTTATAGAAGATGACAATCATTATCACATTTGATAAATTCATCACTGAATAAAATCCAGCTTTGTGTTGTCCTTTACCTGGATCAGATCCGAGTTCCCCTGGGTCACTGTGGTCGGAGGGGTCAGGTCCCAGTGTCCTCCTACCATTTAGCTGCCATGAGTCTAACACCAACCGGTCATTTTCTACACCACTGAAACATCATAGAACAGATCTTGTTCTGGCCACTTAGAGTCATTTTTATTCACAGGGATCAAAGGGATGAATATGCTTATATTTATGATATTGCATGCCTTTCTGAAACTACCAGTATCTAATTCTTCTAACAACAAAACCACAATAAGTGGAATGTAATCACAATTTATACTGGATTGTGATTGGTTAATTAAAGTCAATCAGAGGTATATAAGCATGCTATATACCTCTGATTTTCCAACACAGTATGCATTTTTTTTAAATCTTAATAACGTGGTTATGGTAGAATGGAAATAAACATACTGTGTTGGAAAATCAGAAGTATATAACAAAATTATAATAGCTCTAATTTTTTTATGTAAAACCTCACGCTACGCGTTCAGTTTAAATTAGAGCTAATATAATTTTGTTATATACCTCTGATTGTCCAACACAGTATGTTTATCTCCAAAATATATTCCCCCTCCAAGCACATAATTTTTTTAAGGAAAGAAATCAATGCAATTTGAATCAACACAAATACCATCAACGAATATGTGTCTAATGTTTCAACCTCATAGGTTGTCCAAGATTAAATAATGTGGAGGCTTTGACAAATGGTATTTGTTCATTAAATTCTGTCTAATGTGATAACAGGACGTTTAGTCAATCAAGCAATTTTTCCATGAAAGTTATATCTCATTCTTACCTCAGAACATAGTTAATTGTAATGATATTTTGGTCATCAATACTTTTTGAATTAAAGAGTGTTGTAGCACAAGTCTGGATCCACACATAGCCGCCATGACGATTCATCACTCGATAATACTCTGACAAGACCTGACCTTTGGCTAACACTGAAAAGAAGACAAGAAATATCCTGAATGTTTCATTTCAGCTGACTTTGAATTTAAAAATGAATGATATGAGATAAGTATTTGAAACACCCATAAAATATCTGCATAGCCAGATGGATGAGTGAGTGAGTATGGTTTTACGCCGCTTTTAGCAATATTCCAGCAATATCATGGCAGGGCACACCAGAAATGGGCTCAACACATTGTGCCCATGTGGGGAATCGAACCCGGGTCTTCGACGTGACGAGCCAACGCTTTAACCATTAGACTACCCCACAGCCCCCCAGATGGATGAAAGACAAAGTACAACACAACCAGTTTGTTTGTTGTTCAGGGATGCATAGGGCTGACAACTACTTAGGCTAGAGTTCCTGTACCACAAACCACAAGAAAACTTGCCAACTCTAGTACTAGATTTACACCTTATGCTTAATAGCATAAAACACCCTTGTAGGCGAATCCACAGGAAATAATGAGAATTACTTTTAATAAACAAGAAACATTCTGATCATGACCTGAATATTGCGAAAAGCATTGATACATGAGGTAGGCACATTGTGCCACCTGTATTGAAAAATCAAATTTTGTCATATTCAACTGTAAGCATAAGTTGGTTGGGTTTTATGCCGCTTCTAGCAACATGGAGTGAGTGAGTGAGTTTAGTTTTATGCCGCACTCAGCAATATTCCAGCTATAAATAATTGAGTCTAGACCAGACAATCCAGTGACCAACAGCATGAGCATCGATCTACGTAACTGGGAACCGATGACATGTGTCAACCAAGTCACCCGATCCCGTTAATCGCCTCTACGACAAGCATGGGTTATTGAAGATCAGTATTCTAACCCGGGTCTTCACGGGTCCTAGCAACATGGTGGTGAACATCAACAACGGGCTTCCCCCACTGATCATGCCAGGACTCGAACACAGGCCTTATTGTGATGATTTGGTTTGTTTGTTGTTAAGTAACACACACAGCTATATACAGTAAACAATGGTGTCTGGACCAGACAAGCCAGTGATCAACAGCATGAGCATCTATCTGCGCAATTGGGAACTGATGACATGTGTCAACCAAGTCAGCGAGCCTGACCACCCGATCCCATTAGTCGCCTCTTACGACAAGCATGGGTTACTGAAGATCAATTCTAACATGGATCTTCACAGATATCAGTGAGATGAGCAAACACCCCAATAATTGTGATGTAGTGATACTACAAGCTATATATGTATATGTTACAGTCAGATTGTGAAATGACTAAAAATTTCAGTCATTTCATGAAATGACTAAGATCAGCCATTCAACTATCCCTACTGCTGTTGGACAGGCATAGTCTCTGTGTGACTTATTGTGCAATGATATTGCAGTGTTGGACAGGCCATTTATACTGATTTTTCGCACGATCTTTCCCATGTATCCGACTAAGACATGTGTTTCGAGTTTCTGAGATGTATTTGATGGAAATGTCCAAACCTATTTATATAGCCAATAGCAAATGTCTGATCATCTTAGTCATTTCACAATCACAATCTGACTGTACCATATGTATATCTATGAACTTACAGTCTACATGTGCCTTCCTGAGCTTGTGGAGGTCTGCAGCATGGCAGAAGTCATAGAGGAGGCCATTAGTTAGGTCATCGGCCTGTATGTCCATCAGGTCAGAGACACTACAATGATTAGAAAATATGTTATCAATATTTGGTGTGAAATATATCATAGCGTTAAGAGAAATACAGGCATCATTTAACACTGTAAATTTTGGGGGTTTGAGGGATGTTTTCAATAAACTTGTTCTGTAACATTATTGATTTGTCAGTATAGGGTATATAACCATATGTTAATACAACACCCCTATATATCTATTACATATACCAACACATCTATACCATACCATACATCTCAATAACATCTCTCATATACAACATACCCAATATATATCTATGTCTATACATATACCAACACATCTATACCATACACCACATCTCTTATAACACCTATATATCTATTACATATACCAACACATCTATTACCATACACCAATACCTATTACCATACAATATTATTCTCTTATCACGCCCCTGTATATCTATTACATACACAAGTACATCTATTATCACACCTCCATATATTTATTACATACACAAATATATCTCTTATCACACCCTTATATATCTGTTACATACACAAATATATCTCTTATCACACACCAACACATCCGTTACCAAACACCATCACATTGCCTGACAAAGCAATAACAGTAATGTATGCACACCTTGCAGTGACCATTATCATTAAACTCACATAGGCTCACAATAGATGATTTTGAAGTCAGGCGATAATCTCATGACAAAGGTATCATTGTCAATTCTCAGTTCTGTGATCGTAGGAGGGGGAAGGGCAATACCAAGGGCTATGAACCCTAGGACCGGTGGTGGATGTTTGCGGTTCACCGAAAACGAAAACTGGGGACGGTGCTGTCCAACAATATGAACAACCTGCAAACACAAAGCACATATATATTACCATCAGGATCAATTTTAAAATATTCAAGAAAGTTATGCAGTTCTAACAATGACCAAACAGTAGGGTCACAGCATGTAGAGAACAAGACACTCACACAAGTGAGTGAACTTGTTTCATTATAAGTTACAACAAACAGTAGTTCGGTTAAATATAATGCAAGCACTGTTCAAGGAAAGACCACATGATAAACATTACCATCCATGTCAAACTACCACAGGCATGATTTCTCAGAGACCAGGATTAAATTATAGCTAAAGTTGGATTTGTAACACTAAGCCATGGATCCTGTTACTACCAAGGGATACAACTCTGTGCAGCAAATTGCACAAGCTTAGAGCATAAGTCACCTTTACCATGTAATTCTGACATAGATAGACAAATTCAAAATATTATTTCTGTCGTTTATAATTGACAGTTTAATGAGACAATCAGAAGACACTATATGTATGAGACATATGTTGTGTAGTTGTTAGGAAACTACCATCCTGCTTACCCTGTACCCAGCACACTTTACGTGTACTCCTCGTTTGGTCAGAGTTGACTTCATGCGTAAACAGAAACACCGGTCATAGCCTTTGTTTGGACTAGGATTCATTACATAACCTGAAAAATAAAACATAAACTTAGAACTGTTGTGTCTAAATATTTACTATTCTGTAGCAACACTTGCAGTTTTAATACAGGATTTGAACCATGGAACTTCTGAAGTCAGACGCCATGTTCACATGAACCTACCTCTGTCATGTAATGTCCATGTGTTGTGTGATTGTGGATTGTGTGAAAGTTGTATCAATCATAACCTAAGTTATGAAATGGTCGAAATTTAACCTGATATGAGGTTTCGAAACATGTACTTCAAAACCTAGGTTTAGAAATGATCAGTGCAAAGTAACAGCAGAAGTCTACCTGATTCTGGAAAGAACCTACTTTACTACAGACAAAATCAGAGATAGGTTTATAATGGGGAGATCAGAACTGGGCGGTACCTACCTCTGTCATGCAATGTCCATGGGTTGTGTGCTTGGGGAGATCAGAGCGGGCAGTACCTACCTCTGTCATGTAATGTCCATGGGTTGTGTGCTTGGGGAGATCAGAGCTGGCGGTACCTACCTCTGTCATGTAATGTCCATGGGTTGTGTGTGCTTGGGACCTACCTCTGTCATGTAAGTCCATGGGTTGTGTACCCACCTCTGTCATGTAATGTCCATGGGTTGTGTGCTTGGGGAGATCTACGGCGGTACCTACCTCTGTCATGTAATGTCCATGGGTTGTGTGCAGGAGATTAGGGGGGAGATGGTACCTACCTCTGTCATGTAATGTCCATGTTGTGTGTGCTAGATGGCTGGTACCTACCTCTGTCATGTAATGTCCATGGGTTGTGTGCTTGGGAGATTGGTAATGTCCATGGGTTGTGTGCTTGGGGAGATTAGAGCGGGCGGTACCTACCTCTGTCATGTAATGTCCATGGGTTGTGTGCTTGGGGAGATCAGAGCGGGCGGTACCTACCTCTGTCATGTAATGTCCATGGGTTGTGTGCTTGGGGAGATCAGAGCGGGCGGTACCTACCTCTGTCATGTAATGTCCATGGGTTGTGTGCTTGGGGAGATTAGAGCGGGCGGTACCTACCTCTGTCCATGTAATCAGAGGGCGGTCCATGGGTCCATGGGTGTGTGCTTGGGAGATCAAATGGGGAGAGCATGGGTTGTGTGCTTGGGGGCGGCTGTACCTACCCTGTCATGTAATGTCCATGTGTGCTTGGGGAGACTGCCTGATCGTGGGAGAGGTCCATGTTGGAGGTGCAGGATCCTTCATCAGATGTGGATCCTTCCAGGGATGGGATGTTGCTGCCTGATATGTCTGTGGTAAAAGTATCCATTATACACACACTGAAACAATTTCAGTCAATATGATCAAGAGGCAATCACTTGCAGACAGATACAGAATACAAAAACGTACCCTAGACAAAATCAGAATACAGAAACGCATTACCCTAGACAAAATCAGAACACAGAAATGTACCCAGCCAAAATCATACCCACAGCTAGAAAATCAGAACACAGAAACAGAAACCCTAGACAAAATCAGAATACAGAAATGTACCCTAGCCAAAATCATATCACAGAAATGTACCCCAGAAAAATCAGAATCACAGAAATATACCCTAGCCGAAATCAGAATACAGAAACGGACATGTCTATTCCTCATTGTGTCGTTTTCATGATTGGAACTGCCATACTGTTGTATTAGACACATTTGATTGCGTTATATAAGAAACGAGCATACACAGTGACTAATATTTAGCTTGGTATCAAAACAGCCCTTCCAAAGAAAATAATACAAGGTTTTGGAAGAGACTTATGATTCCAATCGCAAGGCATCGCATCATTTGCCAGTCTGGCCCCTATGGGTCTGTGCTGAAAGCAAAACTTTCTAAATATGATTTGCAAGTTTGGGCCCTATACACCCATTCAATGTCTTTTTAACCATGTCAATAGGGAGTATTTCTAAACATCATTTTCTAGTTTGGGCCCTGAAAACCTAGGCAATGCTTATTTGAGTCCTAGGGTTTACACATTTACAACTTCTGTTGTCAAAGAGAATTTTTTTAAAGAAAATACATTTTTTTTCCTTTCAAAGTTTTCCTGATTCATATGAGATAGCTGTATGTACTAGATGCTAGACGGCTGTTGCTCAGTTAAATTTTAACACATTCTTTGCTTCAGAAAAAGCTAGATACTTTTATTTAGAACTACTTCTATATTCTACTTTCATTATCTTAAAACCACCTTGCCTTTACTGTTATGAGGGCCATGGGGTAGCCTAGAGGTTAAAGCATTCGCTTGTCACGCCAAATACCTGGGTTCGATTCCCCACATGGGTACAGTGTGTGAAGCCCATTTCTGGTGTCCCCCGCTGTGATATTGCTGGAATATTGCTAAAAGCGGCGTAAAACCGCTCACTTACTGTTACAAAACAACCTTTATAGTTAATTAACAGTTTCTAAAATGACAATGAAACAATTCATGCTCATATAGTCTAATGCAGGACATTCATATTCCTCCAATCAATGTTTACTTGTATAAGGCAACAAGCAAGTGAATGCTCAAACAAAACAATTAAGTGTAGAAAAAACTGTTGATTCAGCCCATGCCAAAACAAGGGCACTTAAAAAATTAATTTAAGACTATCTGCTGAATAATTTAATTGCTGTTACATGTACATGCCAAATGCTAGCTTATTGTTTGTTATGACTGGTCAGAATATGCATGATCCAAATTGATATTCATGTCACAAGTGTTTCTGGATACTATTATAAACTACTTCCATACACTAAAGTGAAAATGTTTCAATAAATGTACTAATATCTGTACCATACTGATACATTGAAAGAACAAAAACAAAGTTAAAATCCATATCTTAATTCTGTCTTAGCTGAATCTAAAGCCTCTACATTTAATATTTTAGTGATGAAGATACTGTATATTTAAAAACTTGATGTCTCATTTCAGTGAATAACAAGAATAACAAGTTATATCACTTGAGCAATATAACTCGTAATGCCGGAACTACTATCAGTCTGCTTTGAGATGATACACAATGGTTGTCAGGGGAGATCATGGAGATCAACAATATATTAAATATAAAGGAGCAGTTCTTCTATCTTGTCTTGTGACTGACTGACTGACTGACTGAGTTTGGTTTTACGCCGCTTTTAGCAATATTCCAGCAACATCATGGCAGGGGACACCAGAAATGGGCTTCACACATTGTACCCATGTGGGGATTCGAACCCGGGTCTTCAGCGTGACGAGCCAACGCTTTGACCATTAGGCTGCCCCACCGCCCCTCTTGTCTTGTGACCTTATAATGCTGACATTATATGAATATATCAGTTCTGGAAGGTCATTTGTTGAGAGAAACATGTTACAGGAGAGAAAAAAGCGGAACATTTACAAGAATGGTTTTCATACATGACATGAACATTTTTCTAGACAATTCCCCTTCACATAGGGTAGTTCTAAAACGTACCATGATTGCAAGGATGGATTTTTTTGTGCTATATGGAAAGAATATATATGCTGATGGAATAAAGTAAGAGAGTACACAGCAATATATCAGAATATTGTTTTTCTGCTGTGCTTAATATAGAAGCTTTATAACAGAAAATCATGTCAATGAGTGAAATTACAGTATACCCCTAAATTAACTCCCTTTGACCTTAGTTCAAATGTTGATGAAACTTAAACTTTTCAGATAATAGTTACTCTACAATTATGTTCTCAGTTTACATGTTTTCTGTAAAAATATATACACAAGACAATACATAATAGACACAAGAAAAGACAGTCATGTAACTGATCAGTCTCAGTCTGTGGGTGTTTATCAAGAAGTTGGTCAGGGTGTACTTATATTACAGACCCGTGAAGATCCGGGTTAGAATTGATCTTCAGTAACCCATGCATGTCATAAGAGGCTGATTGACTTGTTTGACACATGTCATCGTATCCCACTTGTGTAGAATGATGCTCATGCTGTTGGTCACTGGATTGACGGGTGCAGACTCGATTATTTACAGACCTCTGCCATATAGCAGGAATACTGCTGAGTGCTGCGTAAAACTAACTCACTCACTCTTACAGGTCTTACATATTACAGGGTTTCTAATACCATGACTACGGTAACCTAACTCCCAATGACACAAGGTGTGTGCATACAAACACATATGGTCATATTTCACAGACTGCATTCAGTCAGTGTTTTCTGACTATTCTACATGGCTTGTTGTGACAACTCACTTTGTGGAAGACAGAGGCCCAGCTGCTCTGCCAGTTCAGGGTGGTCCTGTTGATGCACATAGTCGAACACACTGCTGCCAGTCATCTCTACCTGAAACACAGCACATACACAGCTTCATCAGCTTATGTCAACTTGTGGCTCGTCATCCCCCAGACCTGCACTCACAACTGTCAACAACTGCAGGAAACTGTTGGCGTGTTTCCTTAAACACCTGCACATACAACTGTCAACAACTGCAGGAAACTGTTGGCTTGTTTCCTTAAACACCTGAACACACCATTGCAGGAAACTGATAGCTCATCATCCCAATGGCCTCCATATCTCACACCTGCAAGAATCCAATGGCTCATTGTCCTAATGACCTCCTAACAAAACTATCAACATCTGGAACAGTTGGTTTATTTTCTCAGAAACCTGCACACACCACTGCAGGAAACTGATAGGTCACTGTCCTAATCTCGTGCATAACTCTTAACACCTGTAGGAACTGTTGGCTGTTTTTACAAAAAAACTGCACACACAGCTGCAGGAAACTGATCGATCATCACCCCAATGGCCTCCACACTCAACACCTGCAGGAAACTGATAGTTCATCATCCCAAAGACCTGCACACCAAACACCTGCAAGAAACTGATAGCTTATCATCCCAATGGCTTCCACACTCAACACCTGCAAGAAACTGATAGTTTATCATCCAAAAGACCTGCCCAGTTAACAGCTGCAGGAAACTAATAGCTCATTTTCCTCATGGCCAGCATACAAAACTCTCAACACCTGCAAGAAACTGATAGTTTATCATCCCAAAGACCTGCCCAGTTAACAGCTGCAGGAAACTAATAGCTCATTTTCCTTATGGTCGGCATACAAAAACTCTCAACACCTGCAAGAAACTGATAGTTCATCATCCCAAAGACCTGCCCAGTTAACTGCTGCAGGAAACTAATAGCTCATTTTCCTCATGGTTGGCATACAAAACTCTCAACACCTGCAAGAAACTAATGGCTCATTGTCTCCACGGATGGCATCCCAAACTCTCAACACCTGCAGGAAACTGTTGGCTTGTCACCGCTGCAGGAAACTGATATCTCATTGTCTCATACAGTAATACCATGGGGAAGTTAACAGCACTCAGTATTGACTATCATGTATCACTTCAGTGAGAAAACGTTGAGATTTACAGTAAAATGCACCTTTCAACTATTTCTCATCAATAACAGGCTGTTACTGTAAGTAACCAGTTCAAGTGACACTGGCACTAAGTGAGTCAGCAAAAGGCTGCTTGATCTTCCCTTTACATCACTGCATGGAGACTCCTGACACTCATGGCTGGGGCTCTGATGTTCATCAGTAATGACTTTATCTAATTCACTGTCCATACATGGACTAACTGATAATCTGTTCCCCTGCTCAGTCGTTACACTGCAGATATGGCGGTCCTTGGGTGCACTATTCCTGTAGTTTCCACCATTTTGTTAATCAAGATGGTCAGGAATGGCACACTGTCATTCTTGTTTAACCAAAATTGGATTGTAATGATAGGTTGTACTTTCACAGGGCAGAGCTGAACCAACATTAAGATATCTTTGTCAAGTGATGCACAATCACTCAAGTGGCTTTGGACAGGGTCTGCTAGCAACGCTTCATGGAAAAAAATTAAACTTAATTCAAGTTTTTAAATAAGTGTATCCTTTGTACATTCTATTTTATGAAAAGGAATTCCAGCAAAATATCATATATCATGATACTGTTCCTACAAATTGTGAGAAGGTTCTAAAATTGGGGTTGTAGAACTATCTTTATGAATCATTTAGTAAACAGGTATGTTGCAATTTTACAATAATATTCTAAAGAATAAAAATGTTGGTGTCATTGTTACAGTGCACAAAACACATGAGCTAAATAGACTATTTGAATAATTCAATCAACTTGTAAATCACATATTCATTCCTTCACATATTCCACAAGCTGCAAAGCTCAGTGAGAAGAATTGATAACCACCTCTTGTCAAATTCAGAAGATTATGCAAATGTATCGTGATCCAAAGCCAACAGATTAATCAAATCTGAATTACAGTCACATCAACATCAGCCAATCACAAGTGCTACTTTCAATAACCACAGCCAAATCTGAATTAAGAAAACGATGCTTATGGTCTCCAAGAAATATTTGTCTTGGTTTCACGTTTTAGAAAATAAGAAGTTTCTTTGTACATACTATTTACAAAAGATAAATCAGGTGACAGCTATATTACTGTGAACACTTTTTGATCACCAAATGACTATTGCACAGAGAAGATGAAGCATTATGAAACATTTCATCCCATTGTGTTGATATTAGAATAAATACAGCCTATTTAAAATTCAGACAGTCACATGACACTTGACATATATCACATCCATTATTCAAAGTTTACAAAATTATAAATAATTCAGATATGGTTTGAGTGCAGTTATACTGTATATGTTTTTGTTTATATTTCCTTAATATCATTTCTAACTTCACCATTGACAACTGGATTACATTTGGTATTTCATGACATCAAATTAATAATGATACACTGATTCACTGATGCAAATTTATTGATATCAGAGAAACGCTCCAAAAATGGTTGTTATATTTGTTGATATCCTTGTATGAATATGTACTTACACGGATCAGATACAATCTCACACAGCATGATATTACCCTCGGGGAAGTAAATCTCACTGGGAAGTTTGTTTCATGTGGATTGGTTTCTTCATACTTATTGTTCAAATCTGTGATTTAAATTGATTGTGAAAGCACCTGTGGCAATGTAACATAACAGTGCGCCGTTACAAGTAACTGAAGATCATGTCATATGTCTTCATGACATAGAAGTTTTAATTTGGGATTGATAATATACAGATAGTCTAGCGCTTAGTGTCCGAAAATATATAATTTTGATAGAGGCAAATAAATCCCCTTAAATTGAAAAGGAGCCCCGTGGAGCTGGGTGCGGATTAATCTGGTTCAGAGACTGTGGGACAAATAAAGTCACTGAGATACTGTCTGGGCTTACGATCATGAAACATAGTTTTCTACATTCTAAAACTCAGATTTATGGGTTAATGGACCTTCATGAATAAATGTGTTGAAAATTCCTTATCAAGGTTGTTGATTAATTCACTAAGAACAGATAAGATAATTTGTAATTCTGTGAAGGTAATATTTTACTTTTATCATGGGGCAAACAAGCATCAGTGAAAATTCAACTGCCGATGTTTACACAAATTTTGAAAACTATAAACCAAATCACGTTACCGCTTATCTCCACTATGAAGTACAATCTATTTAAATTAAAATACTAAGATTAGTGCTGTGAATCGGAAACCAAATCCACTATCGATTATCGGAGGATATTGGTGAACGATTATCGATTATAACCGAAATATATACATTTTTAATGTAATCTCCAATTTTAAGGGTGTTTCCCCATTTTTTTTTGAATTAATGTTGTTTTTTATAACTAATGCTGTCATGCAATGAAATGTACGCATGCAAGAAAGACACTGGAATTGTAATTAAACAATAAAAGTGGTTAAAATTTTACAATGTGCATAGCTTTACGCTGTTGAGTGCATGTTTGTTCGTGAATATTCGTCAAATTTGATGGTAAGTTTACTTCATTCAAGGTTGTTATACAAAAACAACAAAATTCTGATTAATCGAAAATATGTTTTTTTACAATCGATAATCAATTTTAATCCTGCCTTTCGATCGAGTTTCGATTATTTTCGATCATCGGAACATCACTAACTAAGACACTTCACAGCTACGTCACATCAGTCATCACAACCCGTGCTGTAATGCCAACTAAAACATCTATAGCAGTATCTCAGGTTGTATATAATCCCTGTTAAGTGTAATTTCTCATTAATGAAATTTCAAAGTTAAAAATTCTAAAACATCAAACTTCAAATCAAGCTACAAAGAGTATCAAGATCATGAAAAATTGTCACCAGGGGAACAGTATCTCATTACATAAAAACCTTCTCTTAATCCCAGTGATTGTATCATGCCAGTGACTTAGTCTCTAAACAAACACATTCCCAAATTTGTAAGTTGAGAAAGCATCTTGATCGATGGTCTGCGACTAAACATATACAGAAGTAGACGTCATTATCGGCAGGTACAATGAGACCTGAAACCAACTGTTAATTGATTGGCGGGTCAATCTCGGGGCCCCGCAAGGGTGCACTGATGACAATTATGGGCCTGTCAGGGGCAGACCTTGGCTCAAGAGGTTTCCATTTGCAGTCGGAACGTCTCGGGGGGCGATTAATCCCGTGATGTCAAGGCCCCGAATGAAGTGCTCCCTGGGACCTGCCAACTGACAATTGAAGGTCTCATTACCTGGTTCCCCCTGGGCCAATAAACTAAAAGCCCACAATTCCCTCTCATCGTTCTTCTACCATGCCGACAGAATGTGCCTAGAGTTTTAAACATGGAGTCTCTGGAGATGACGATCTCGGCAAAACTCGGCAAATCAACCAGTTTACTGGGTTATAGAAACATCATGGAGGGGTGGACTTTGTTTCTGGAATTTGATTAAGTCCCATTTAAATGACTCCACGGCTTGTAATGTTATTTCTTTCTAAAGATTGATAACTCTGATATTATTAATTTTCGGCATCTTCGCAATCAACTGCAGCACCAAGGGAGGCATCATCGAATTAGATTTGATTAATTTTCCACCATTTTCGATGACAAAAGTGATTTGGACAATTTTGGTAACGTTTGTTTGTGGAGTTGATGGCTGTTATTTATCAACAGCTCTCCTAAAAGCTGTTTTGCTGGTTTTATCTGCCTTGATTAGGACTACTTTTCCCCTCCATATCAGAACCAAGATCAATCATTTGTTACCATAAATCTAGAACCCATTTCTCTTCTTGGACACTCCAAAAGCAGTGTTTGAATTTATTTGCAGCCTTCCTTCATCTATTTACAAGATTACTTCAACAGTAGAGTCTTATTTCATCAAGATCGAACCATCTTTGCTTCAGTTTTTTGTACCATGATAATTTGTCTATTTAATGTCAAAACAAGTAGAAAATTTCACAGCATCAAGTTCTGTAAATATTCATTCCAACTGACAAAACTTTCAGATTTTAAACAAACTTTCTGCAGCTATTATCTACTGAAACACTGTCTCCTAATTCTTAATGTGTCTTTAGGGTTGGAACTAAGGCTAAGGTTGGGTGCCCTATCTAACTTGATAATATACAGTATATTTTGGTTGAATTTTGAACATAAATACACATCCCGTAATCGACAAGACACATTATTTGACTGCCTGCTCATGGGTGCCTTGCAGCAAAGGATCTCCTTGTTATCGTAACTACCGCTGACTAATGTTTCACTGGTCTTAGTGCTACAATCATTTTGTGCATGTGGGCACTGGTCTGAACCACAACATGTTTTTTACAAGCGCGTGTCAGCCAGCATGTCTGGTCATATTGACATGCTCTGACATAGACTAACATGCACTCTGCACCAATAATGATATGGGATTACTGACAAACAAAGGTACATTAACCAGCAATCAAAAATACACTTAATAAACTGCTGCTTTCCACACTCATCCCAAATACCCTCTATCCCTAAAATAAATTTGAAACAATACCACTCATAAAGTCATGTTTGTCAGAAATGCTCTAAACCACAGTTATTTGGGCTTTTTAAAATGAATTTAAATGATATTAAGAATGTAAAGTTACATAGATATGAGATCAAGGGCCGACCAAAATAAGGTTTTGATCACCTGCCTCTCAAAACCAGAATAAATAAATAAATAGGCAAACAGTTATTTTTATTTTTATTGTGTGTGTATATAAATTCTAAAATTCCAAAATACATAATGTGTGTCTTGGATTTGAGCTTTTCAAAAATTGGATAAGCTAGTATAAAGATATTCTGTTTTATTGAACAAGCATATTGAGAAAGATACCAAACATGACACAGTTGATAACGGGTCCGTAGTATCCAGTAATACAACCAATCAGAACGAGGTATTTTATGTCCGTGATACACAATTGTCTGATTGTGTTTTCAACATGACTATGCCGAGATCAAATGGTGCACCAGTAAGCACTGTGACGATTATTTGTGATAGTGATTGGGTTCTTACCTGTGAAAGACCAAGGTATATAGACACTGTTTCTGATATGTACAGGAATCGGCCATCATTTGCAAGTGCAAAGGCAAATCCATCCAGTGACTGAAATAAACAATATTATAAATCTATTAACAAGTCTTAAAACATAAAATTCTTTATGATATCATAAAAAGTGTGCAAGTTTTCATAACAGTAGAAAAGATTTAAACTCACAAATAGACAGGTTCGGTAGCTATGAATGTGTTTTGATGCCAGGTATGTACAGGGTTCGAAATACCCCATATATTAGTGTGCCATGGCACGGTAATTATTGAAATGGCACGGCTAAAAAATGTTCTCGGTGCCCTTTTGACACGCCTGATTTTTCAGAGACATAACTCACATTTAGTCATTTAATCCCCAAAACAATTTTTTTTTACAAATTAAATAATACCATACACATTTGACTGCTCATAAACCCATTTCTTTATTTAACAATAAATTTCAAATGATTATCATCATTGTCATTTATTCTAAAAACATGTGGGCATACTCAATTTCTGAAAGGCACACCTAAAATATTTGTCTGGTGCCCTAAGGCACACTTAGAAAAAAATAAAATTCTATCCCTGTATGTATCAGTTTAATGCTACCGACACAACACAGTTAAAGCTCCAATGGAAAGGATGATAGTATTAGTTTGCCACAAAAGCAAACAATCATAAAACAAAATGGGGTACTGGCACAATCATTCACATCGCTATAGCGTAGATTAACCAAAGGCAATAGAAAACCTATTTATCATCCCAAAATGGAATCCATTGGAGGTATCACTTTGTGGAATAAAGCAATGTCTAAAATTAAAAAATGTTTTAATAAAATTGCATCGTTGACTATTGGTTACCATGCCGTCACAGCAAAGTGATGTTACGGTATTTATAGCTCAGCCAGCCACTAATGACCAGTCACTTCAGCTGGTAAGGTGTACATGTATTCCCCAGACAAAGGCTAATACTGTGTAACGCTCACAAGGTTGGAAGGATGATTTTGAATGATACGTCAAATCCTACCCTGGTGTCTTTTGACTGACTGACTGAGTTTGGTTTTACGCCGCTTAGCAATATTCCAGCAATATCACGGCAGGGGACACCAGAAATGGGCTTCACTCATTGTACCCATATGGGGATTCGAACCCGGGTCTTCGGCATGACGAGCCAACGCCTTAACCACTAGCCTACCCCACCGCCCCTGGTGTCTTTTGATATGTACCAACACTCATCATTAAAACTTTGTATTTTGACATATTTGATATTAAAAGACAATTGGGAGAGATTCTTTGTGTGTTAAAGATCTGGGTTGGATTCATCAGCTTCTGTGACTATCAGAAGTTAAAGTATACCATATTTTCTTGAGTATAGTGCACACTTTTACAAAAACACATTTCTGTAAGGTGGGTGCACATCATACACGCTGTAATGAATATTGATATTTTTCCCAATGCACAATCATTACTGAATGCACATACAGAGCTCCAGATAACTTTTGGGGGGTGGAGTGTACTTACACATCATATTGCAAGTGGAGGTGTACTGAGAATTTTGAAGGAGTACTGACATGTTTTTGTGTGAGCGAGTTGGTGATGTGGTTTGTCTGGACGATTCATCGATCACTATTTCCAACCATGTATTTGTATTTGAAGACGCTTGAGAAATAACTGAGCGACCGTGTGATGCGCGAAATGTCAGGTCCGACTGGATATAAATAGGAACAGTGTAGTTTTTAGCCAATCGAAAAATAGTGACGCATATCGTTGCATGGCAACGCAAGTGATTCCTACTGTCGGGGTTTCCTCATGTGTCAAATCGTGTTTCGCAAAAGAAACTTGACAAGTATTTATCCGAAATAGATTTCCATTTGCACGATACGCACGGAAATTAAATGTTAGACGTACAAAGGTATTTATGTGCGTACACGATACGCTTGAAATCTTATATTATGCTGTACTTAATTGATTTTGAGGCGTACATTACGCCTGTACGCCCCTTATCTGTAGCCCTGCACATAACACCAGAAATACCATGCCAACAAATCTGAAATGAAATACGCTATTTAATCACGCAATTTCAAGGTCAGTTTACAGACGGTGTGGCTGCCATATAGCTGGAATATAGCTGAGTGTGGCATTAAACAACAAACAAATACGAAAGTTGTTCATTGTGTTGTTTCATTAATCTTTTTCTTAATTTTATTCAGATTTTAATCAATATGGCTTACATTAAATTCAGTTACGTTATTGGCAGTTCAGCAACTCACCATTATAAATAGCAATCACATTCAGATTACCGCTTGAAAGTTTAACTGACGGAGAATGGATGCATTTAACATACATACCATACCTTGACTCATAAATAGCTATAATCATCTCAGTGATAAGATTGTTCAACATAGCATGGGGTCCTAATACTTTGTAGATGAGATGAGGCGACATGGGGTCATATCGTCGCATTCATGATTATTGTGCTTGTGATGTGTGCATGTGAGTGGCCACTTGCAGTAGTCAAGCCTAATGACAGTTTTATCAACAAGGCTGTCTACATGAACAAGATGGCTGAACTGTCCTCTGACACTATAGATATCAGTTTTAGAAGATTGATAGCTTACACTTTGTTAACTTATCCTCTCATACAAACAGGTGAGCCATAATGTTGTAATAAAGAAATGTGTCAGAATAACATACGTAAAACGATAACATACATATCCGTAATATTTAAGTCGGTGAATTAGTTCTTTCTATCGTCGCTATTAGCAATATTCCAGCAGTATCACGGCATGGAACACCAAAAATGGCTTTACGCATTTTACCCATTTTAGGAATCAAACCTGTGTCTCAGCTTGACAAGCAAATGCTTTAACCACTAGGCTATGCACCAATCCCTTAACAGAAACTCCACAGAAGGAAACAAGTTCCTGTTTGCTTAAAAAATAGACAATATAATCTACCAGCCCTTCAGAAAACACACTCTCACTAACTTAGTAAATTCATTAAAAACTAGGAAACTCCACTTGATAACATGCTGGCAATAGTGAGTTTGCAAAAGCCTAAATTGCTCCGGAATTTGTCAGTGTCCGTAAGATGAGCTCAAAGACATGTATGTAGTTCATGCAAATAGAGGTGAATTTGTTTCAATATTTGTCCAACTAACTCTTATTCTGTCACAGGCCCTTGTCAACACTGCATTTCAACACAGGTTTTTCTTTCTGTCTTTGCTATGGAAATGAGCTTTCAATCTTTTTTTGATTGATCATATTTGAAACAAGAGGAAGCGTGACGTCCCATGACAGATTGTTGTCTCTGGTTCGGGTTTATTGGAGAATATGTATGTTGCCATTAGAGGTAGGTATGTCAAGGCCAATGGAAAGGGGGAGGAAGCTGATGGATGCAGGGGGAGAGGCACAACTACCTGTGGGGTTCATACTGATGTGGACCAGTACTTTTAAAGCCCTATTTGAGGTCTTTTCCTCAATGGGGCGGTGGGGTAGCCTAGCAGTTAAAGTGTTCGCTCGTTCAATTCCTCACATGGGTACAATGTGTGAAGCCCATTTCTGGTAACCCCACTGTGATATTGCTTGAATATTGCTAATAGCGGCCTAAAACTAAACTCACTCACTCACTTTTCAAATTTACAGGCCTACCCTGAAGCCTGCCATACATTTATATGACCGTCAAGACTTTCATGAATACAATAATGCAAATGGTATGGAAATCTGCTTTCATTTTTTTTTTGCTGTGATCAGCAAACAAGAGGAAACAACGGGAAGCGTGACGTCCCTGGCAGATATTTGTCTCTGGTCTAGATGTTTGAGGTTTATTGGAGGAAATGTATGTTATCATTACAGATATGTATGGTAAAGTAAGTGAGTGAGTGAGTATATTTTACGCCATTTTTAGCAATATTCCAGCAATATCAAGGCGGGGGACACCACAAATGGGCTTCACACATTGTGCCCATGTGGGTCTTCGGCGTGACGAGTGAACGCTTTAACCACTAGGCTACCCCACCGCCCCTGTATAGTAAAGAATATGAGGCATCAGTATTAATAATACAATAGTATGCTTATCGAACATCATTTAAAGGGTAATAGTAATGGTAAGTTTGCTTTTTAGAGATCCTGATTATCTGAATACTAGCTGGCCCACAACTTGCATCATGAATTCAAGGTAGGGGGTTAAATTCAAGGTATATTCTTTAATTATGGCTTGTGTTTAGGATAACGTTCTTTTATAAGGTAATGAGACGTTTTATAGTTGTTCAACTTATTAGAAAGATAGCAGCAAATGTTTCTTAAGTGTCCCCAAACCCATAATAGCAGGATATGTTTATTGTTTTCATCTGAGTGACCTAGGGATGATTAAACATACTTGGAGGTATTGACTGGAAAAGAACTGTGCAACTCCAATCCCTGGTAGTGACATGTCACGGGATAACAAAATCTCTCAAACCTCGAACATCCGGGTTAGAATTATCTTTAAGAGTATGAGGTGACTAAAGCGACCAGGTGCTCTCTGACTTGGCTAATACATATACTGTATCCCAGATACACAGGTTACGATGTAAGTCACTGGATTGTCTGGTCTAGATTTGAGTATTTACAGGCTGCTGTGATTTAGCTGGATTATTGGTGAGTGTGGAATAAACACTGAACAATGACCTCTTAACATTACACATGGAACATCTGACCAATCAACCTGCATTACAAGTGGAAAAAGGACTGGTTTTAAGTAATTCATATACTGGTATATTTTTCAGCTGTAGAAATTGCTGGTACCACTTCTACCCTTTCAAACATTTTACAGATGTCCAAACAAACAAAAATAGTGAAGTACACTCTCATTAATTGTATATATTCTGTAACGCTTTCATACCGTATAACTATGTTATATGTGTCTTAACATAGTAATAGTAATAGTCTGCTTATATGGCGCTCATATCCGGGCACATTGCCTGTTCACGGCACTACATACATTACTATCCCCGGTCATAGGACACTATTGTACTTTCCAATACTTTTTTCAACACCCTGGGGATCATACAGCCATGCTCACATTGCCAGCACATCCTCAC